TGCTCCACAACTTTTAAAAATTTAACCAAATGTCTTAAATTTCTTTCCACATCAGTGTACACATAGACATCTTTTTATTAGAAAGTATAGTATTTCCTTTATATAAAAATGCCATAATTTATTTAGCCAATCCTCTACTAACAGGCATTCTGCTTCCAATTTTTCATTATTAAGAACAATACTGAACAGCCATATATATGTCACATACACATTTTTGTGCCCTGGTGCTAATATCTGTATATAAAAAATGCCACACGCATTTAAAATTGGGGATCAAAAAGATAATGCAATTTTAAAATTTATTATTTTAACAAATTGCTGTCCAAAAGAAAATTGCTGATTTATACCATCATTGGTTCTCTGGGCAGTCACCACTGATGTAGGGAGGAAGATGGAGCCCCCAGCCCTCAACTGATATGTATCCCTTTCCTTTCTTCAACTTGGGTAGCTCAATTTTTATCTCTTTAAAACCCTGGGCTTCTGTTTAAGATTCATCTGAAGAAAGGATTCTAAGGCTAAAACAAGTTTTGAAAGCCCTTCCTCTAGCAAAGTCTCTGGAACCAGAACCCTTCAGTTCACTTATAATGCTCAGGAAATTCTGAAGCAGCCTAGTTTGGAGTGTTCATTCCCACTTTCAAAATCAATCCCGAAGCAACACAGGTTAGGAAGGGCTTCAAATTCCACTCAGCTTCCTCAGAGTATTTACCTAAAGAATCAGTACCTTAGTTAAAAACAAAATCCTTTTTACCCTCATTTTAAAGATGGTGATGATCTCCAGAAAGCTTTCATTTAGTAGTGAATATATACAAGGCAGAATCTAAGACTCAGAGGCAGTGGCAAAAGAAATTAGCAAGTTAGTCATTGTATAGAAAAAGATGTTTCCTAAGTCATACTTCTTTTCTTTTTTCCCCGAGGATTTGCAATCAAAAGTACTGAGGTATTTTTTTCTCTTTATCCATCTCAAAATATGTGTTACTACTGCTTTATTGGTAAGCCTTTTAGGAAGCCTGAATCCCACACTTTAAACAGGTGAGAAGTTAATGTCATCAGTGGATCTTTTGGGTTCTAGAATACCTGAGATGTTGCCAGTAAGACAGTAATACATGGTTTATCTGAGATTCATACATTCAGTCGTGAACACAGGGAAAAAAATCTTCATTCAGCTCTCAAAGCCCCAGCATTAAAGATCTTGCATTTCCCTTAGAGAAGAAATCCTTATCAAATTATAAATGTTAATCAGTTTGATTATTTGGTTTCTGAACATGTATCAGTCAGTAGTACTCTTTTAGTTTTAAGTACCATATATCCAGCTTGAACTAGCTTAGGCATAAAAGAGCATGTGTTGGCTTCCTATTGAACTATGGAGGAGCAGAGGTATAGCCTAACCACGAGGACAATTGGAATCAGACTTACCCTTTATGTTGTCTCTGAATGTCTGCCTCATTTTCTCATTCCAGCTTCCTTCATGGGTTGGAAACATTGCCACTAATAGCTTCTAGACACTCTTATTCCAATTTCACTAAGCAGGAGAAATTATCCCCTTTCCTTAGTTCCAATTAAGAAAATCCTATGAAAGGAGTCGGGAAGGTCCATCTCGGGTCAGATACCACCCTTTGGGCCCAGAACACTTGCCAAAGAGGCAAGAGGTGTAAGATAGTGCAGTTTCCATTTAATCTATGTAGTTAATGTGGCAGATTCTGTTCTGGGCAGATACATAATAAAAGCTAATGTTTATAGAGTGCTTAAAATGTACCAGGGCACATGCTCACCTAAGTATTTTACTGTATGTAGAATGCCTCCTAGGCAGGCCACAGAAGATAAACAACAAATTTAAAAGTAATTTGAGATGACTCCATAGTTAGCATAACAACAGCAATGACACATAAAAGCTGAAATAACAGCAACAAGAAACAAGAAACTTAAATGCAGTTACAATTGTGTTGTATATTCTAATAAAAGGAATGAAATAATTCCCTTCTCACAATAAATAATTGTTTGAAATAATTCCCTCCTCACAATAAATAATTGTTCATTTGATTACCTAAAACATAAGCTCTTAAGTTAGCAGAGGCTGTAACTACCTAGATAGCACTATGTGGCTCAAAAAAATGACAAGTCCTTCAGGTGTCACAGTACAAATAAAGGAAACAATGTTTTTAAAGAAAAAAACAAAAACAAAAAACAGCTTTGGAGTCAGGTACACTTAGTCTTAAATCCTGGCTCTACTACTTGCTAGCAATATAGCTTTGGGTTTGCTGCCTCATCTGTAAAATGGGGATAATAAAACTAATCTCATAGGGTTTTAATTATGGTTAAATAAAGTAGTGTATGTAATTGCTCAGCACATTAGGACACTACCTGGCAAGTTAAATAGTAGCAGGATCAAATGGGAAAATGTATAATTGCCCCATGGTAGTAAGACAAGAAACTTCGTGTTATCATTTCTCTTCAAATATTCTGCTTTGCTATGTGTCTTAGAGAAGCCTAATCCCATTTCTAAAAATTGAGGAAATGATCTTGTCACTAACCAAGTTTCAGTAAGTAGTGAGATGAAATAGGATAATGTATAATTAGATTTATGCATTATAATTAGGATAACTCTACTTTGAAAGGCTAATTTCTTGTGTCTTTAGTCATAAAAGTTTGCACTTCATCTCAGATTCTCCCTTTTAAAAATTCATCATGGCTGATTCAGTAAGTTAGCGACTAAGGAGTCCCTAATTCAGATTTAACTTCTTAAAGCTGGGAGAACAGAAAGGCTTTCTATCTAAAATGATGTCACATAAAGAACAGGTAGTGTGTTTACAATTTGAAAAGCCTGATGCTTTTTCTGCCTTTCCTTCTACCTCACCAAGTTTGTGATTTAAGGGTTTTCATTAACATTTCATTTTTTTTTAACAATTATGAGAGAAATTATTTTAAAATGTACTGAAAAGGCAACTAAAATTTTCTTCTCATAGATATATGGATGTCTATTTTAGTAGCCTAATTACATAATTTTTTAATATAGGGAAGAAAGATAGTTGTCCACTTTTCATAAGATCTGAAATCAGAGTTTATAATTAAAGTAGTTATTAATAATGCTAATGTTAATGATATTAAATAGTCATAGATTCTAACTGATATCTACATTTTTAAATTATTGTCATCCTTATTCTGTTTTAAAATAAAGGAGCTTTTAAGAATTGGCATTAATCTTGCCCTTAAGAATATCTTTTTATCCTTAGTTTAATTTTCTAGGGAGTAAAAAACAGAGTAGAAAATTGGTTGGATTTCCTTTGTTTTTTGTTCTTTGTTTAAATTGAAGATAACATTATTCTGTTTATCTCTGCAAAATAATCACTAATACATGACCTGTAACATAGTCTCTTCTTTTCACAGCCTCAGTGTTTGCTTGCCTGGCAATAGCATTGGGATTTTATAGATTCTGGAAGTACTATTAATGCTTCTACTACTGCTGCTATTGTCTTCTTAGAATACTAAATCAGCATAGATTTATTTTGAACATTGTCAGTTGCAGCAGAAACTTACTACAAGATTATTCAAAGTATACATGGACTAAAGAGAAGTGTTTTAGAATGGGAAGAGATATTTTGTCTTTATTTTGTATGTGTGTCTTTATTTTATTATATTGGAAAGCTACCATTCAAAACCTGATTTATTTGAGATAGAAAGGCAATTTGTTCTTATCCTATTGATGGTTCATAGAAACTGAACCAGAGTTTTCTTATGTTTGCTTGAACTGTGTAAATTGTATAGGATTTTGTTGGTATCTGCTCAAAATCTGAAAACTGTTGCCTATCCTAAATACTAATTACTGGATTTAACTTTCTTGATAACTATTGCATAATTACATTTTTATATAAAATAAAAAATTATTATAACAGTTGTTTGGATTTTAAGTGACTATAACCATATAACTAGAGATTGATTTTCTTTTGTAATGTACTAAAACAATAAATTTTAAAATAATGTGTGCTGTAGTACAAGTGTATAACATTTAGTATGAAATCTACAGTATTGCTAAATATTGAGCTCTGGTTATTATATGTCTTTTTTAAATTTTTGAGTCACAGAAACCAATTTATCTCTGCTTCTTAACTTACCCATCTTAAATTTATTACATAAAACAAAGCTTTTCTTAATGATTCATTTAAATGCAGCAGACATTTATTGATATATAGTACCCACTCTCAGGAAACTCATAGGGAAATTCAGATTTTTGTTTTGTTGTTATTGGGTCTGTTTTTTTCTTATATATCTATTAGTAGATCATATGTAATTTCAAAGACAATAAATAAATAAGATTAGGTTTATTTCTCTCTTATAGCCAGTGTGAACATTCTAGGGATAATATACCAGCTCCAGAGTGTCAGGGTCCTTGCTCCTTATCTTATTGCTCTATATCCTGGTGTTGCCCTCATTGACAAGGTCCAGTTACTCACCACCACATTCACATTCCAGAAGAAAGGGGCAAGAAGTGGGCAAGCCCTTTCCTTTAAGGGGCACGACCCTAAGGTTTTACATACCATTGTTGCTCACATCCTATTGGACACAACTTGATATCTTAGCTGCAAGGGAAACTGGGAAGTTAGTCCTTATCCTGAGCAGCCACAAGCCCAGATAAATCCTATTACTATGGAAAGGGGGAGAACAGGTTACAACTCTATTTAGGTATTTCCTACCTCACTGCACAGAAAGAAACTAGAGAAAACTGGAGCAAGTATCACAAACTGTTTCCAGGTTTGGGATTAACTTTTGGGTTTTATTAGGTTAGAGAGAAAAAGGCTGTGTGTAGTCCCAGAAGGTGAGGGAAATGGATTTGGAATTCCAGCAGTGGTTAAGAGAATGCAGACTTTTAACTTTTGCTTCCAAGTTTAGAATCCTGGCTCTGCATTGTGTCATCCTAGGCACAAGTACTTAATCTCCATGTAAAATATACACTTAACTCATACGGATATTGTGAGAATTAAGAAGATACAGTAAAGGACTTGGCACAGATCTCACAAAAAGTAAGTGCCCAATAAATGTTCACAGCTATTATTACTATAGATTGAAAGCCTATTGAAAACCACAGAGAAATTAACAATACTGAATATAAGGGTTATCAAAAGGATAGATAAGCCATTTTTTAACACTAGCTTACAGACCCTTGACCGGCTGAACTGTTCTCAGCAATCAAATGCACTCTTGTCAGGGCAAACTAGTCCTGGTGATACTGGATCAAAATGGACTTTAGCATCCGTGTAAAAGCATCCATGTACATGCAAGGGTCCAGAGGGTGGGCATTCTGGTGCATGGTAAGAAAATAGCTGCCGGTAAAGCCCAAAGCTAGTGATCAGATCTTCAGGGGGAGAAAGAAATCAGACAACTGCCCCTAAGGTAGTCACAAATCTTTGCTAGGTCTTGGAGGGAAGAAAGGGAAAGATGGAGGGGGTAGGAAAAAAGAGGGAATTGAAGTCAGAACTGAACTGAGATGCCATAGTTCTTTTTTGGTCAGCATAGCACAACTGATCTTTAAGCTCAAGGAGGAATAAAGGAAGAAAGAATAATAAAGCTATGTATTTCATATCCTGTCTAATCTGCCTCTTCTCTATATTCCTTTCTTAAAAAGTTCATAAGACAGAACAAAGGTTGAATCCTGAAGCAGATTATTTGAACGAGTATCCTTAGCAAGCATGCATTTCTTGCCTTTTACAAGAGCTGAGTTTTATTTATGTAAAACTTTCCTAAGTGAGATATTTGGCTGTTATTGTAAAGTTGTTCTTTTCTAAAACTTGCTGGTCTTAAGTTCATTTTCTTCCAAGTCTAGGTGCTTTTTAAAAGTTAAGCCATTTGAAAAATTAAAAAAAAATCTACACTAGTAGTGTATGGTACTCTCTAGAAAATGAAAGAAATATATTATGGCACCATAATAGAATTTTTAATATCTAGAACTAGATTTCTTTTGATATTAGACTGTACCATCTAATATTTTAAAGTTTATGTGAATACTTACAAAATAAATTACTCAAATCTCTTGACTTGCCTATGTAGAGATATAGAAAGTATATTGGGAGTAGGTGCACATCTGAATCCATGTAATTTTAAAAATCCTTTTATCATATAACATAGTTTGCCTTCAGAATTGGAATAGTAGTATATCAGAGTAATTCTGAGAACAGTTTATATAGATTTACATTTATATCAATTTTTAAAATGAAAGAGAAAAATCAATTTTATTTAAAATTATTTCACTGATTAGTACCTTCTTACAAACACTCCCCCAGAAGACATCTTTTTCTTCACTCTCCTCTCCTCTTTGCTTGACTCGCAAGAAGAGTTGTCTTCCTATACACAAAAGAAAAGAGAGTTAAATACAATTTTAATGCTAGCACACATTTTCATCTTTCTACAATGTCCCTTCAAAAGAAAAAAAATTAATCATGCTAGTAATTTCAACTCTGATTAAATTTCTTTTAGGATTTTGTAAAAATGAATTCCCTAATCTGAAGTCCCAGTGCGTGCATCATACTGTGCTGAATCCTAAGACTGGGAGGCACCTTAAGAAATCATTCAGTCCTATCTCTACCTAATACATCTGCAAATACTAGTATTTCACAACATGTTGCTAACTGAAATACAGAAAGTATTATTAATAGTATGCTATCTTCAGGATGCTTTATAAGTCCAATAGTGCTAAGAATCATATTTCCTGGTTCCTCCATTCCTTCTTTAATGTTTGGACATCTCTACTGCTCTAGTCTTACTTACTTTCCACTTTGCCCTGTCCCCCACTGTTTCTGTATATTTCTCATCCATCTTGATATTCTCATGACCCAGCACAGAAGAATCAATAAATGCCAGGGGAAGGAACAAGAGAGGGCTAGGAACACAGTGGATGCCCCCTACATGTTAATCATATTTGAGTAATTCTTCCAGTCAAAAATGCTCTGGACTCAGGATAGATCTAAATTCAGAAGCTCCAAGAACAAGACAAAGCATGTGTCCATGGGGGGCTAGAGTTAGTTCCCCAAGATGTTCCTGCCCATACCTTTGCTAATGAGCCCAGTTAGTTGAACCCATAGTAGTGTGTGAACATGGAATTTAGCTGCCATTATCCAACTCTACCTGGAAAACCGAACCACACATCTGTTCTCTCCCCTTCCCTTGGCTGCAAACTTGAAAATGGAATAGAGAAACTGCTAGCCCTCCCCTATAGTGGCGAGGCTCATGTGGGCATAGAATAATACAGATGGTCTCTTACCAGCTAGTCTGAAGAGTAATAGCAACAAACCTTTGATAAGGACTTAGCATATGACACCTCTGTACTTCACACTATACATACAAAACAAGGTAAAATAGGTAGCATTACCAACATTTTATAGACAAGGTAACAGAAGTCAAAGAAGTTAAACAACTTCCTCCAAGATCACAAAACTAATTAAATGGCAGGATTCAAATCTAGATTTTTGTCTGACTTCAAAGTTCATGTTCAATCATTCAGTTCCTGCAACTGCCCTATATATAATTGTAGGTTATAAAAAGGAATAAGATCTCCCACTCAGGAGTCTGCAGCAGAGAAGCAGAAAAGAAAGTACTGAAATCACCCTCCCTTTCCCTGGTTTCAGGCACCCCTCCAGATCATTAGGACTGGATGCAAAGATGTCCATGAAAGAAAAACACTGAGGGCCAGGCACGGTGGCTCACACCAGTAATCCTAGCACTCTGGGAGGCCAAGGCAGGAGGATCGGTTGAGCTCAGAAGTTCAATACCTGAGCCAGAACAAGACCCCATCTCTACTAAAAATAGAACAATTAGCTGAGTGTCATGGTGAGCACCTGTAGTCCCAGCTACTTGGGAGGCTGAGGCAGGAGGATCACTTGAGCCCAGGAGTTTGAGGTTGCAGTGAGCTATGATGATGCCACTGCACTCTACCTGGGTGACAGAGCAAGACTCTGTCTCAAAAAAACCCAAAAAAACAAAAACAACACTAAGGTGGGGCATGATTTTAACCTCATCTATTATAACCAGACAGAACTAGAGAAAGAACATAGAAAATGCGGGGGAAAAGATATAGCTACTTTTCAGATATAACCTATTTTCTAATGCTTTAATAGAGTTACAAGACTTCTAGAAACAGTAATATATTTCTTTACCTTTCACATATGCTAACTTATTAGAGGAGGTTTTAAAGATTCCAAATATTCTATAAATAATGGTTAAATACCAAAGCCTCCACTAACACCAAATATGTAATTTGTTTTATCAAATTAAGTCTTACCATACAAATTCTAAAGAAAATATGTGCTTGGCATTCAACAGGCCTCAAGTAAGTGCTCATTGAAGGTTACAAATTTTCAAATTCTAAAAGTTTCTGTATTTGGAGAACATCTTTCACCAGGATTACTCATTTGCTCATCATACAGTAGCCAGAAATATATTTATCCCTAATAAGTGTTTTCTCCTAAACTCAGGAAAAGAGACCTATATTATTGAGATACTGAATAATGTGAATCGTGGTGCTTAGGAACTGAAGGCAATTCTAAATATAAATGCAATCTTCTACTAGAACAAAATTAGACAAAAATCTCTGTATATAATTTTAAAATGTATATATTTTAAATATAACCAGTATTTTTTGCCCTGAAAGAATTTACAGGCTTACTGAAGAGATTAATGAGTCTACACATGAAACTGTTGACAGAATTTATGGATCTACAAATTATTGCTTGGGTATATGGAATTCTTATTTTTTTAAAAAAGTCCATACAATCTGAGACATTCTAGACCTCATGTGAAACTAAAAGGAGAAAATTCCTGTAACCCCAGCACTCTGGGAGGCTGAGGCAGGAGGATCACTTGAGGCCAGGAGTTCGAGACCAGCTTGGGCAACATAGCAAGACTTCATCTCTTCAAAAAATTTAAAAATTAGTTGGGTGCAGTGGTGTGCACTTGTATATAGTCCCAGCTACTCAAAAGGCTGAGGCAGGAGTACTACTTGAGCCCAGGAATTTGGGGCTGCAGTGGGCTCAAACTGCACCACTGCACTCCAGCTTGGGTGACAAAGTGAGACTCTGTCTCAAAAATAAAAACAAAAAATTCCAAATTCTTGCTCAGCAGGACAGACTCTTCTTAACAGTGTCAAAACAAAAAAAAGAAAAGAAAAGAAAAGAAAGAGACTGTAACCAAAGAGAAAGAGACAGAAATCACACACAAACTTCTAGAATTTCCCCACACTAAGAGCTGGACCTGCATAAGCTCACTTAAGCCCTCAAATTGCTCCAAGGACTATTGTAGACCCACAGGCTAGTACCTGAGTGCTCAGAGAGAAGCCCAGCACAGACCATATCAATGTCCAATCCAGTTCCAAACACTTGTAGGTAGAAAATAAGTTTAAGTTAAACAGAGAAGGTAATCATGGAATACTACCAGTTCCTGGTCAACCATTCTTGATTAGCAAATATTGCCCAAAGGTTTAGACCAATGACTTCCTGAATTATATGGGTTCAGAAGAAAGAAGGTGTGAACTGTGCTACACAAATCTCTCTGTGGACAGCCATCTCTGCCAAAGCTATTATAGTGCCCATCTAGTTTAAATTTTTTAATAAACATTTTTATTTAATTATAATATACATACCAAAGAGCACAAAGAAGAAAAATGTATAGCTTGATGAATTTTTATGAAGTGTGACCACAACTACGATCAAGAAATTGAATATTACCAGCATCTCAGAAGCTTCCATTTGCCCCCTCCCAGGCGCTACAGACTTGATTTATTTTGCCTATTTGAACAAGAGGAAATCATACAGTATGTGTTCTTTTGTATTATCTTCTTTTGCTCAGCATTGTGAAATTCATTCATTTCAGTAGAGTAGTAATTCATACATTTTCATTACTGTATAATATTCCAGTGTATGAATATAGCAAATCTATTTATTGATTCTTACTGTTGATGGAATTTTTGGATTATTTTTAATTTGGGGAATATTTATAATAACGCTGACATGAACATTCTTGTATATGTCTTTTGGTGCTCACTGTGTACACAAAGAGACATGTACCAAATTCCACTAGGAATTAATGAGGTATGTGCATGTTCAGCTTTAATAGATACTGCCAAACAATCTTCAAAAGTGATTTACACTCCTACAAGTGGTGTATAATAGTTCTATTTGCTCTACATCCTCACTAATACTTGGTAATGTCTGTTTTGTTTTGTTTTAATTTTTGCCATTCTGGTGGGTATACATTAGTATCTTCTTTGGGTTTTAATTTACATTTCTGATAATTTTGAGGACATTTTCATGTTTGTTAGCCATTTGGATACCTTTTTTTGTGAAATGCCTATTCAAGTCTTGTCCAGTTTTTTACTGGATTGTCTTTTTCATATTGACTTAAGTTCTTTATACATTCTAGATATGATTTCTTTCTCAGACAGGAGAAAGAGATATGGGAAGGATATATATACTTTCCTATATTTTGGCATGCCTCTTCAAATCCATTGATGTTAGCTTTTAATGAATTCCAGCCTATCCATTCTTGTCCTACTCCAAGGTCACGAAGACATCCTACCATGTTACTTTATCATCTCAACTTCAAATTTAAAACACATCTTGAAACATGTTTGAACCTATAGTGTATAATCCCAATATAAGTGACATTTTAACAAAATTACTATCAATTTTATATTTAAATTTTCGTAAGTAAATTAACTATTAAAGAACCAGCATCAAAAGTTTTTAAAGATGAATTTTTTAAAATAAATCTTCCTCCAGTAAGAAAAGAAGGGTGAGGGGTTAATAATGGCAGTAACAAAGTTAAAAGCATGGACTTCAGGCCAGGCAGTTAGGTTGAAATCATGACTACCCATCTGACAAGCTGTATAACTTCACAAATTGATTATTTTATCTGAGATTTGGTTTCTTCATTTGTAAAATGAAGATAACACCTGTTGAATACTAAGCCCAACATACAAGTACTCAATGCCTGTTGTTGACGATGACCAAGATGTTACTATTAAGGTAAGTTAGATGATCTCATGAAACAAATTTTTGGTACTGTGAGTAAAGTAAGCACCCAATCAAGCCTTAACACAAAGGATGAGAAGCTCTCAAAGAAGTACCAAGAGCTTGGTGGAAGGAGAGGTCACATGTAATCAGAAGGATTAGGAAAGGGGTGACAAATGAGGATTTTGAGAGGCAGAGTTAACGGATAGGGAGGTTTCAAGGTTTATGGACAAAATGAACAAAGGCTTGTTGGTGGGAAAGTGTGGGGTAACTTCAGAGAACACAAGCTATGGCCAGATGTGGTGGCCATGCCTATAATCCCAGTGCTTTGGGAGGCCAAAACAAGAAGGATCGCTTGAGCCCAGGAATTTGAGGTTGCGGTGAGCTATGATGGTGCCGCTGCACTGTAGCCTGGGCAATAGAGACCCTCTCAGGGAGGGAGGGAGGGAGGGAAGGGAGGAAGGGAGAGGGAGAGGGAGGGGAAGGGGGAGGAGGAGAGGGAATGGGAGAAAAAGAGAAAGAAAGAAAGAAAAGGAAGGAAGGAGGGAAAAGAGAAAAGAAAAGAAGAAAGGAAGAAAAAAGAAAAAAGAAAGAAAAAATACAGACTACATGTAGAATAGACAAAAAATAAAGCTAGTGAGGTAGGTTACAACTGAATATAAAACTGAGGAATTAATACGTAATTCAGGCAAAGAATATTTTTCAATCCAAAGAGTGACAAAAAATCAAGTTGACTGCATGCAATGAGTCAAATGGATTTGGATAAGAAAGGACTAGATACTGAACTTCTATCCCAGTAGTTAAGATAAAAAGATATAGAAACCTAAACAAGAGAAGCAGTGAAAGTAGAGAGTATGTTCTTATCTATGGGATGGGCCCCCTTCTGTATGGGCTAAGGGAGAAAACAAGGCCACTTGTGACTTTAAGAGTCCCAAACTGGGTAGTTGAGAAAATGATGATGCCATTCATTTAAATGCAGAGATGGCGGGTCTTGATGTTGAATTTGGTTCTAGACATTTTTTAAATTAGGCACTACTAGGAATTTCAGGTGGAAATGTCCAGCTGGCAGTGAGAAATACAGGTGGGGAGGCCTGGTGGGACATAGTACTAAAGTATGGATTTGAACATCATTTACACAGAAGTATTAAAGAAATATGATCTGGAGGCAGAGATTCTGAGTTTGTCCCTGCTTCACACTAGCTGTGTGCTCTAACAAGACACTCAAATTCTCTGAGTTTCAACTTCCTTATATTTGATCCCCTCTTATTTGGGGATTAAAAAAATATCATTTCTACCTCCTCATAGTATTGATGTAGACTAAGATGAAATAATATCTGAGAAAGTACTATAAAAACAGTTGTTTTGTTACAAAAAAAGCCCATTAAAGTGCTTTATATATGTCAAGCTATCCTAAAAAACTATTTTAAGAATTTTTTTCCTAAATAAAAATTATACTATTACAGATTCCTTAAAGGTATAATTGTGTGCAATCATAGATCCCAACCAGAAGGTGGCAGGAGAAAGATTTAGTCAGAGCTTCTTGAGAAATCCATATAAACGAATCCTGAATGAAAAGTTCATTTTATTTATACTTATATATAATTAGGCTCCAAAATAAACTCTTCTTATTATTAGATGCAAGAGGCTCTACCCATTTATTTATCCACTGACCATGTCTACTCACCTCTAATATCGAAAATGAAAAAGAAGAAAGGGAGAAAATAATACAGTGAATACTACTATATAGCGAATACCTCTGTGTGCCAGAAACTGCGCTCAGGATTTCTACACAGTATTTGCTTTAACATCAATACAATCCCATAAGGTTAAGGTATTAATAGCCCTCATTTTAAAGTGAGGAAATGGTGACTCAAGCTTTGGCAAAAGAGAAAATAAGCAATGCCAGAGTTGTACCTGCCATGAAGGGTCAGTGACATTTGCTTATTTACAAAAATTGAGCATAGCCTAAAGCAAGATTGCAAAAAACAATGGGCCCAGAGTACAGGAACCTTGAGTCGGCTCTCCTGAAAGCCTACACGTTGGTAGAGTGAGGTTTTAGGCAAGCTGGACTGCGGAGTATGAAGTCATACCCAACCTGAGAACAAGGAAAGAAAACAGAATTTATAAATAACTTAAAAAAAACAATTATAAGCAATCAGTTTGTAATGACTCAAAAGAAAGTATGCAGCTTGGGTGACCCCAAAAGATTGTCCCACCTAGGCAGCTAAAGAACAACTGACGTTCCTACCTTTGAGGAGACTGGGAGTCACAGAGTCCCTGCCACAAGGTAGAAAGGTAACAGACTTGAGTGTAAATGGCAGCTTATGAATGATCCTGTGTCCTCTAGCCCTCTAGCCAATACCACATGACTGCACAGCTGGCCTCCCAGATACTAAAGATTCCCTGGAGGCTAAAGATGCTACAAGAAGAGTATTGCAAGAATGAAGAGAATAGATTAATTATTATAGTTAATTATATCCCTTGGAAAATCAAGCACTGGTAAGACATCAATACCTAGAGAAACGGAGGAAATATTTGTATTTATATATATAGAAATACACATATGTGTTTGTAGATAAATAGAATTTTCTCTGAGATGTACCAAACTAGCTTCCTTGGGAGGGTGGAACTTGGTGTAAGGAGGAACACCTATCCTGTTTTCAACATTTTACAACAAGCACATATATTATTTTAATATTTTTAAAGTAGTGATTAAAAATATTACCATTAATATTTTTGCTAATGGTTAGCTTTTGAAAAATAAACAGAAACCAGGAAGTTTTTATTTTAGATCAGATTTAAGATGATAGAGTTCTGGAATAGAATTCATTCACACATGATGACTGAAGGAAAACATTCCCTATGGAAAGAAAATATGAAACGTACCTGAATCCCTACACTATGTCACAAATAGCTGTCCACAAGGACTGCATCATGGCCATCTTCACTCACAGGAGAGAATAAGGGTCAAAGTTTCCCCAGTGCACTTCCTGCCTGCTCTACTGAGACTAGATAGCATGAAATACAAGCACCATGTGGGGTTTCTTGCTGCCACTTTTACTGTTTTCTATACTCCACCTGCTTTTCTGTACTTGTTCTTTGTATGTTTCTCATGTTTCTTCTTTGCTTCCTTCTACATATGTGTCCTTTTTGCCAACTCTAAACATTTTTCTATTTTCTAAGCCTATATTCTGAATTCCAAATTTCTAATTTCTGTTATGAAAAGAGCAAAGGCTACGGGGTCAAAAGACTAGAGATTGAATAGTGATCCCATCATTACTAACTAGCTGTGTGAATTTAGACAAGTCACTTAACCTCCCTAAGCCTTGGTTTCCTCATATGTTAAATGGGGTCAGGTCAAAGGACATACAATAAGATAACATGCAAAAGAACTTTATAAAGGTAAAGTGTTACACAAACGTTATTTTATTACTACTCTGAGTAAAAGGATGCTATGACAACTTCTATGCTGGCTCTCTTCTACTCTCAAAGCTATTCTTTGGAGAAGCTGAAGCTTTCTAAAATGATTCCATTCAAAGCACTTTATTTTTGTTATTTATAATATTAACTATACACACCCTCCAGCCATCTTAGAATTCTTCTTTTTTTTAAGTTTCACCTAAGCTTCACTTGCTAGTGGCTATTACCAATACAAAATGATGATGCTGTTCAAGTCATCAAAAAGTCTTCATCCTCTGATTTTTGGTTCTTCAGGGTGCTTGCTTGCATGGATATTGAATTTGGAATTTGTGTGGAGGGATGATCACTGGAGATTTCTATTTGGTCATCTTGCTCTGCCCTCTCCTTGCTGTCTCAGAATTCTTATTGATTAATCTGCTTATAAAAATATTTTCTCCTTATATGGTACAACAATAACACTGCACACTTATGAACTGGGATGCTGTTCTAACCTATATATATATGGATACATATGGGTGTGTGTGTGTATATGGTCATATAGTTAAATATATAGTTCATATATATATATATATATATACACACACACATATATATATTCCTTTAATCCTGACATCAGCTCTAGAAAGTATAACTTAATATTATTTCCAGTTTACAACTGAAACACAAAGAGGTTAAATGATTTGCCAAAATCAAAAAAGGTTATAGCCAGGATTCTAACCCAAACAGCCCCAGCAGCCAAAAGCTTATACTTTTAGCCACTCTTGTATACTATTTCTCACGAAAACTAAATGTGTTAAGAAGGACACCAACCATAGCTGTAAAGTTGGAGCCATGAATTTTTTCCAGAGTTTCCTTGAGTTGATCCACTTCTGCTCGATATTCATCCAGCTGACATTCTAATTTTTCTCTACGTAGTCGTTCATACTCCAGCTGGCTCTGCAGTTCTTTGATGGTCCTATCAAAAAAATTTTTTTTCAGTCAACCTCCAACATCAACTAACAATTATTTGGCAGTACTGGAAAGCATCCATGCATTGTATTTAAGGCAAAGAAAACATTTATTCAACAAATATGTACTGGGGGGTCTACTATGAACAAGCACCAATCTAGGGACTAGGGATACGACAGTGAACAAAAGACCAAAATCTGCCTTCCTGGACCTTACCTTAGATGCAGAGGAAGACAGACAGTAAAGAAAATAAGTAAGTAAAATATATGATATGTTGGATATGTGCTAAGGGAGAAAAAAATAAAACAGGAAAGAATAATATAAAATGTTGTGGAGGAAGGAGTTAATATAGTGGCTAGGGAAGAGAAAGGGGCTGCTGAGCAAAGTCCTGAAGGAAATAAGAGAGATAACCACGTAGACATCAGCAGCAGAACATTCCAGACAGGGAATAAGTGCAAAGGTCCTAAGACAGAAGTATGCTTGCTGAAGCACAAGAAAACGAAAGGCCAATGTGCTGGAGTAGTTTAAAGTATAAAAGGGAAAGTATTGTATGTCAGAGAGATAAATGAGAGTCAGAACAAGTAGGGCCTTATATTCACAGTAAGGACTTTGGCTTTTACTCTGATTGCAAAGAGAAGCTATTGGAGGGTTTGAGTAGAGAAATGGCATGATCTGACTTAAGTTTTAATATGATTACTCTGAATGCTGTGTTGCAAACAGACTACCAGTGGGAGATGAGGCAGGGAGAGGAAGCTGGCTGATCTATTAGGATGATGTTACAATAATCCAGACAAGAGATGTGACTTGAACCAAGGTTTTTGTTGTTGTTGTTGTTGTTTCTGCCTTATGAAAAAGAAGAAAGGAACAGAATTCCCAAGGCATGCTGGGTTAAGTGTCAGGTCCCTAGGAGGGCAATCTAACAGTACATAGTAGTAGTTCTGATACAGAAGTCAATGAGGTTAAGATTAGGGCTAAGGAAGAAGAATGTCAACTGTGGAAGCCTAGAAGTTCAGCAAATAAGAAGGGAAAATCATTCCCAGGACAGTGGAACACAACTGTTTTACTGTATAGTAAGTTTGATCTAACAGATAATAATAAAATCATAAGGACATCTTTCAAACCAATACCTGTCCAGTTTTTCCTTACAACAATATCTAAGATCAGGAGTTTACACCCAAAGAGTACATGTCTTAAGATGCACTTAACACAAAGTGGAAAACAAATGCTAGAGAATTAAAGCTCACTCAGGGTACAATTTAGAAAAAACACTGCAGTCTCAGCTGATGTAAAACATCATTGTGGCACAAAGGCTAAAAGCAATTTTTTTAAAAAAACTTATGTTCAAAAATCACTTACATCAATAATATAGCCATTCCACACTGACAGACTATTCTGTGACCATTAGAGCAAAAATTAAAATTGTAATGATCTTAAGTAGGGTTAGAGTCATAGACTCAGGCTCAAATCCTGGCTCTCCCCAACCATTACTACTTCCTCTGTGACTTTACAAAAGTTACTTAACCTCTGTAAGTCTTGGTTTCCTAATCTGTATAGTAAGATAATAGTTCATGTAATTGTGAAGATTGCAAGAGATAATGTTTGTAAGGGGGTTTATCTAGTGCCTGCTCAGAAGTAATAAAAATAGCATTAGTGGTAGTATAGTAATCAGCTTTAGAAGAAAAACAAAGAAAACCGAAATTTAGAAGTCATTACTAGGAAACAATTGTTCCACTGTGAAGTACTTTTCCAGACTATAAGGGATCTAAGAACTTTTAGTCAGGTTCTTAGGCCAAGGCTAACACTAAAAACAGTCTATATCTCGAAACATTTTAAGCAATGTAAAGACATTGGACAGCTTCTTACATGATGTGATTTGTGAGATACCAAGAAGGCCCTTGATTAAAAAAAGAAAAAGAAAGAAATTGGTCTGCCACAGCTTTCCTAGTGTCTAAAATCACAATAAGAGGTACAGTATTTTGGCCTAAGGTTTTGCCTTCTGTTTAAATTCCCAAGTACCTATCCATGGAAGGATAACACGTTAATCCTTATCAAAGATTTAGATGTTACACTGAATACATTTACCAGACCTCTTAATGAGACTAGATTCAAAAGTGGGTGGAGGAAAGGGAAACAGGAGGTTCTGAGAGTATGAGGGAAACAACCAACGGAAAGGATAAGGAAAGCAGAGAACGAGAAAGGGAATCCATGTGTGGTTCTCTTTACAGACCCATGTTGATTAAACCAGACATCTCCTCTCTTTTGTCTCTCTTTGTTCCTTGTCCATTCTAGAAAACAGATAGACAAGTATAGAGGCAGTGGGAGGAAAGAAGCACGAGGCATTCTTTATTCCAGCAGCCATTAATTACAATCGTCCCTTGGTATCTGTGGGGGATTGGTTCCAGGACCCACTCCCCACCCCGATACCAAAATCTACAGATGATCAAGTCCCTTACATAAAATGGTATAGTATTTATATATAACCTCACACATCCTGTGCTATACTTTAAATCATTTCTAGATTACTTACAATACTTTATACAATGTAAATGCTATATAAATAGTTGTTATACTGAATTATTTAGGAAATAATGGCAAGGAAAAATAGTCTGTACATGTTTAGTACAGACACAACCACCCTTTTTTTTCCCCAAATATTTTTGATCCACAGTTGGTTGAATCTATGGATGTAGAACCCATGGATACAGAGAGCCAACTATAATTCAAGAGGTACCCAATATCTAGAGAGCCAATTTAGGGTGCAGGAAGTAAAAGGTGATGACAGCAATGTACCTATTCACAGCCTCTGGACGCAAGCATTCTCTGATGGGTACTATCGTCAGTGAACACAAGACTGAATCTCAGATTCATGAGTGGGCAGTCCAACCTGATGTGAACGTTTAAAGACTGTGTCACCTGTACTGGTTGAAAAGTAGCTGTGGTCTCAAAAAAAAAAAAAAAAAAAAAACACCTTACTTCCTTACAGAGTATCGACTTTTTTTGAGACAAAGTCTGGCTCTGTTGCCCGGGCTAGAGTGCTGTGGCATCAGCCTAGCTCACAGCAACCTCAAACGCCTGGGCTCAAGCAATCCTCCTGTCTCAGTCTCCCGAGTAGCTGGGACTACAGGCATGCACCACCATGCCCTGCTAATTTTTTCTCTATATATACATTTTTAGTTGTCCAGATCATTTCTTTCTATTTTTTAGTAGAGACGGGGTCTTGCTCTTGTTCAGGCTGGTCTCAAACTCCTGACCTTGAGCGATCCACCCACCTCAGCCTCCCAGAGTGCTAGGATTACAGGCGTGAGCCACCGCACCCCCTAGAGTATCAGTTTTACACGAAGAAAAGAGTTCTGGAGATCGGCTGCAAAACAGTGTGAATGTACTTAACACTACTAAACTGTACACTTAAAAATGGTTAAGAGGGTAAATCTTATGTTATGTGTATTTGACCACAATTTTTTAAAAAATCTTAACTCCTCATCGGGGGACTTAGGGGGGAAACAGAATGAAACCTAACACCCTTTGGCAGGATGAAAGAACAAGCTACTGATCAACAAACCCTTAAATGGCATTTAGAGAGGTAATTAAAAACAAATCATTAAGTTTTAAAAAACGTTACTTTTCAGACTCGAGATGTTCTTTCTTCTGCTTTAGAGCTTCTTCTGTGATCCCTCCCAAGTGTTTATAGTTGCTTTCAGCAATTCCCAGGAGGTGTCTGAATTCTACAATTTTCTTATAAGCTCTCACTGTAAGACAGAGTTGAATGGGAAACTAGTTTAGACAGATAACAGCTCATGTGCTCACAGGGTAATGGTCCTCTTGAGCATATTCTTCCTTCAGAGCCAGTGTCTGTGTTTTGGTGGGGGAGGCTGGAGGGAAGGTGGCATACACAAAGAAAGATAAATACCAGTAACAGAATATCAGAATGAGCAAGCAATAAAATACCTAAATGGAGGATTCTTTCCTTGCTACTGGAGCACATATCAGATTATTATGAATGTTAATGCTATGAACAAGAAGTTTTAAATAAGACTGGCAGTATTTTAGGACTAGTGGTGTATTACAGGATCGTGCATTATCTACTATATGTAAGAAAATTAGAAAAATGGAAATATGCTTAAAGTAAACAAGAACTAATCTGGCCCCAAATTTTGTGATTAGTCACTTGTAATACCTATGCAAGAGGATACTATGAGAAGGAAGTGTGTTGAGAAATATTTTGAGCTATTTTCCAACGATCAAAACTGTAATTTTTCCATCTGGTAGAGCAGTGGTTCTTTACCTGGGGTGATTTTTTTCCCCCAAAGGTCATTTGCCAACATCTAGAGACCTTTTTGCCTGTCACAATTTGGGAGTGGGGAGAGAAAGGGAGGCTACTGGCATCTAGTGGGTAAAGGCTCAGGATACTGCTAAGCATCTTACAATGCACAGGGAGCCCCTCTCAACAAAAATAATTACCTGGTACATGTAATGGAATCCAACTTATACCCCCCTAATTCTATTAAAATTTTTTTAAAATAAAAAAAACAATAAGTCAATTACCAAAGACTATTTACTTTCTTTCCACTTTCCAACCATTAACACAGGTCAGTTATGTTGACCATTCATTTTTCAGAATGGAATCTACCAATTATTTTCTTAAAAACAATAAATAATTATCAGGCTCAAAATGTCAAGAGTATAAAAGTTGAGAAACTACTCTACAGGACCAGTTTTGCAAATCACAGCCTCTTCTTCCTAACATTTACCACTCTGATGTATCTACCAATAGGGTTAGAGCTGCAAGATCCAAATTGCATACACCAGAATCAACTGGGGTGCTTTTTAAAAAGGTACATGCTTGAACCCCATTCCAGACCTACAAATACAGGTATCTGCACTTTATAAAAGCTCCTCAGACAATTCTGAAGGGTAGACAGGTTTGGGAACCACCCTAACTGCTAGCAAGCAAAAAGAGAGGATTAAGAAAAAAAAAAATCAGAGATTGAAAAGATTTAACTTGTATAATAATTTCTTCGATATTTGAAATGCTATTTTTTTCTTTTTTTTTTTGAGACAGAGTCTCACTCTTTTGCCCGGGCTAGAGTGCCGTGGTGTCAGCCTAGCTCACAGCAACCTCAAATTCCTGGGCTCAAGCAATCCTTCTGCCTCAGCCTCCCAAGTAGCTGGGACTACAGGCATGTGCCACCATGCCCGGCTAACTTTTTCTATATATTTTTAGTTGTCCAATTAATTTCTTTCTATTTTTAGTAGAGACGGGGTCTCGCTCTTGCTCAGGCTGGTCTCGAACTCCTGAGCTCAAACAATCCACCCACCTCGGCCTCCCAGAGTGCTAGGATTATAGGCGTGAGCTGAAATGCTATTTTTTAAAAGACCTGTTCTATGGGGTCCTTGGAGAGAAGAGCTAGGATTAACTGGAATTAGCCCCAAGAAGAGAGATTTCAACTCAACAAAGCAGAAACTTTCCAACAAAAATAGTAAGAACTATGATGTATTCATGGAGTGCCTATGATGTGCAAGGCACTACACTAAGTACCTTATACATTTTAATCCTCCCGGGAACTCAGTCAAAAGATGGAAATGACCCTCCTGGGCAACAGTAAGTGCCTTATCACTGAAGGTGACTGAGTGGAGGCTAGAGGACATGTGACAGGAATGTTGAGCCAGCAGTCAAACCTCAAATGGTTATAGGGTTCTATAAAGCCATGGGCCTAAACATAATTCACTAAAAAATGCTCTGAATTGAGGCTTGATTCCAGGAAGTCTGGAATGACAAGAAATCCAACCAGAATGCTCTGCAGGTGTTCTGGCAAAACCTAGTGTCCCAAGAAGGGACCATTTAGTTCTTTGGGTTTTGCCCTGGAATACAATTAAATAGGGACAATAAAATAGCACATGAGCTCATTTGTATCAAGCACACTACAGTAGGAAAACTATTATAGTCACGTTCTTGGTCTTTCCTAAGACATCTTTCTGAAATTTCTTGATTCCCTGACAATGATCCCCAAACAAATATCTGTCACTCAAATAAGGATGGGGGTAATGAGGAGTGACTGCTAAATGAGGGTGGGCTTTCTTTGTGGGGTGATAGAAATGACATAAAATTGATTGTGGTAATAGTTGCACGAATCTGTGAATATACTAGAAACCATTACATTGTACATCTTAAATGGGTAAATTTAATGATATTATATCTTAATAAAGCTGTTTAAAATAAAACTGGCAGAAAATTCTAAACAGATCTGAGCCTCCCACACCTGCTCCTGTACAATTCTAATTTAGTATCCTTGACAAATTTAAATTACATCAGGAATTTCATCCAACCTTACATTGGTAGTTATGTCTCTTCCCACCTAATTCATAACCCACCTGAAATGTTATGCCCTTTTCCACTCCTCAGTCTATTATCCCCCCAACAGCTAGAGTGATATTGTTTTGAAACATGAATCAGATCACATCATTTCCCCACTCTAAACTCTACCAATGGCTTTCTATTAATATTTTTTAAAAAATTTAAATCTAAAATCCTTATTAAGCTCTATATGATCTGATTGGGCCTCTGCTTGCCTCTCCAACCTTATCTGTCACCACTTCCCTAGTAATTCTACTGTAGCCACACTGATCATGCCCAATTTCACCTCATGGCCTTTACATACACTATTCCCTCGGCTTGAAATATTCTTCCAAGATCTTTATATGGCTCACTTTCATCATTCAGGGCTTTCCTCAAATGTCACCTCCTCAGAGGCCTAACAGTTATGTATAGCACCACCTTACTTTATTTTCTATATATCTATTTTCTCATCAATTATTTATCACCCTCCCACCTGACCACCACCACAACCGGAATATAAGGTGCTTTGTATTGTTCGATGTTTCTCCAATAACTACACATGTATCTGGCACACAGTAGACAATAAATATTTGTTGCTATTATTATCTGTAAAAATTATTTGCCAACCAACATGAAAATCCTTGAGATGTCTCTTTCCCTATTTCCTATAATCCATTTAAGTGTTTTTTTCTCTTATATAACTTTCCCCCTCTCGAGGACACAGACCATTTCTTATACTTCTTTATATGTTCAAAAAACCTAGTACAAAAATTTGTATTAGCTCTGATTCCCAAAAAATATCAAATTATTTTGCTTTGTAGACAGCAATTATCTTAAGGATAATTTCCAATTTTGCAGTAAAAAGTGGCTATGGTACTTCTGAAAGGATAAATTGCAACAGAGGTAGCAAACTTACTTCGGGCATCTGTTTTATCCGACTCACTCAGACATAAATCATCCTTTGCATCAGTGCTTCCCTCGACACCATGTCTTACAAAAAATTTCATATCATTTTCATCAATTTCATTCTCATCATCAATATCATATTTCTGTAGACCCTCTAATAGCTTCACTGCTGCCAAATGGGCAAACCTATACAAAAGAATCAATCATTAACCAGATCCACAACCTTCTTGAAATTGAAACCGTAGCTTACACTAACTTAGGCAATTACACTCTGTATATTCTGCCACCAACCCACCCCACCAGTCGAGAATCAAACTGTACCTGAAGGTCAGTGACAATGTGAAATATACTCAGCTATGTGGGAAACTCAAACAGTTACTGGACATTAAGGACAAATATTCATATCAAATACTGATTCCATAATTTTTATCAGTAAAAATCTACTAGGAATGAAGCTTCGATATCAAAAGAATATTTGGTGTGCTTCCAAACATAGTTGCTCAAATACATAGAAAACCCAAAACCACCCTACTTGATTACCTATAGTTACTGCCTTTTGTTGGCCTAATTTAGATTGTAGGGTTCATTCTGGTTCCAGTTTTAGGGCTAACTATAGCTCTAGCCCCTCAATCATCCTTCTTCAACCCAAAGCCTTTGGCACGGCTTTGAAATTTAATGGAAAAATAACGACCTTTCCATTTATGTGTTCTATTCTCTTTGCTCTTTCCGGCATCTTTACAAAGCTTCCAGTAACATACTCTTGTTTTGGAGTTGTTGACTGTATGCAATTTGCATATTTTTCCACAATTTTGCTAATTAGAATTTTTAATGCTTTCTCTTAGTACATTCAAAATTACTCACTAAATATAAAAACCTCAAATCCTATCTTCCCATACTTATGTAACCACATACACACATACATACGTCCTTACCTTTCACCAGGTACTGCAAATCATTAAAGATATAGTAATAAACATATGCAGGAAGTTGTAAGGTTTATAGAATTCATTATCTCCACTACTAGGTTGTAATTTAACAGCTTTCTTTATTGAGTAATTGCTTTATGCCAGATTCAAGGTCATCTCTATAATAACACTACACTCACACCTAGCATTTAGGTGCATGAAAAAAAAAATGTGAACCAGAAATTATGGATTAGTCTAGATACACCCATGGTACTCAATCAACTATGTGATACTGGTGCAAAAATAGACAAATACATCAGCGGACAAAATAGAGAGGTCAGAAATAAGCCCACACATATATGGACAAAGGTACTGGAGAAAGGATAGTCTTTTCAACAAATAGTGTTAGAACAACTGGATATCCATATGCAAAAAAAAACCTTGGATACATACCTCAGACCACATATAAAAAATTAAATTCCATCCACCTCAATGTAAAATCTAAAACTATACAACTGCTAGAAGAAAACACAGGAGAAAATCTTTCTGACTTTATGTTAATCAAAGATTTCTTATATACGAGTCCAAAAGTACAATCAATAAAAGAACAAATTAGTAAAAACTTTTGCTCTTCAAAGACATTGCTTAGAAAACGAAAAAACAAGACACAACTGGGAGAACATCATTGCAAAGCACATATCTGGAAAGAACTAGTATTCAGAATATATAAAGAACCTTTAAAACTCAGCCACGTGTAGTAGCATGGGCCTGTAGTTCCAGCTACTCAGGAGGCTGAGGCAGGAGGATTGCTTGAGCCCAGAAGTTTAAGGTTACAGTGAGCTATGATCAGGTCACTGCACTCCAGGCTTGGCAATAAAGTGAGACCATGTCTCTAAACTAACTAACTCAATAAATAAATAAAACCTTTAAAACTCAACAAGAAAATAACCCAATTTTTAAAAGTAGGCAAAAGATCTAAATAGTCACTTCACCAAAGAAAATATACAGATGGCAAATATGTACATAAAAAAGATGCTTAAAATCATTTTTCATTAGAAAGATGCAAATTAAAACCACAATAAGATACCACTATTTGAATTACTAAAATCAAAAAAACTGACAATACCAAATGCTGGTGAGAATGTGGAGCAACAGAAATTCTCACCCATTGCTAATAGGAATGCAAATTGGTACAGCCACTTTGGAAGGCACATTGGCAGTTTCTTATAAAGTTAAAGCATATGGCCTAGCAATCCTACTCCTAGATTTACACAAGTAATTGACAACTTATGTTGACACAAAAAACCTGTACATTAATGTTTATAGCAGATTTATTCATAATCACCAAAAAATGGCTACACTCAAGATGCCCTTCTACAGGTGCGTGGACCACTGAACTATGCAGTACTATGGAATTCTACATACAATGGAACAGTATTCAGAAATAAAAAGGAAATGAACTACTAATACACATAGATGAATCTCAAAATAACTATGTTAAGTGAAAAAAGCAAGATATAAATACATATTGTATGATTCCATTTACATACAACTCTAGAAAATGCAAACTAACCTATAGTGACAGAAAGCAGATTAGTGTTTGCTTGAAAAAGGGATACTGGGGAGCAGTGGCAGGGAGAGAGATTATGAAGTGGCAGAAGGAAACTTTTCAGGGTGATATGTTCATTATCTTGAGTATGGTGTTAGTTTCACAGGTGTTTACATATATCAAGACTCATCAGTTTGTACTGTACAAATATGTGCATTTTATTGTATGTCAGTTATACCTTGATAAAGCTGTTTTACAAAAATAAAATAGTCCTGAGCTAAAAATGATCTCAGGTACAACAAAATTACACTCTACAGCATCAAAGAAATCCCACAGGCAAAATTTTAAAGAACATAAGCTCCAAACAAAATTTGCATGACAATTTAGTGAGTGATGGGGCCCTAGCAATCACCTATCAAGCCTCATCTGCCATTGTTAGCCCACACTCCTACTTTAGATTCAAGCAGTTTTAAACCATATGCAGTTCCTCAGACAAACAGGTGTTGTCTTAGAACTTCTCCTCCTTCAAGTGTCAGCATAAATGTTGCTTTCTCAAAAAAAAAAAAGTTTTCCTTGACCTCTATCTAAAACCTGTCCCCATGCAGTTTCCTGTATAACTTTTACCATCATCTGTATTAATGTCTCTTCCTCACTACTTTCAAATAGGAAGACTGGGACCCTTTTTCTTCTACGTTCTTACTGTACCTTATACATACTATATAATATGGTATAATGATTATAATTAAGAATTTTGTTTGCATATTTGTCTCTCCACAAGACTGTAAGCACCTTGAGGACAGAGACTGTTTTCTCATCTTTGTAATCCTAACACTAACCACAGTACCTGGAACATAGAAAGTATATGGGAAGTTAAATGACGAATAATAAAATGAATAAATGGATGGGCTAAATATTCCTTGAGAACCTGACCTGAATGAGCTGGTGGTGTTTAATAATAGGTACCATATTTAATTCAAATGTAAATACCCAAATATATTTCAAAACCTATGTGGTTTATTTTTCTATTATCGATATTGACTATTCCTTTTTATTACAGTGTTTCTCAACAGGGTGCTATAGGCATTTGGGTTGGACAGTTCAATTGTGCATCACTGTTCTGAGGGCTGCAGAACACTTAGTATTCCTAGACCCAAACTCATTGAATGTTAGTGGTGCTCTCCAGTCATTATGACAACCTTCCCCCACATTTCTAAATGCCCCTCCCCTCCCACTTGAGAATCACTGCTTCGGAGAGAAGAGCTAATATAATATCAAATGTCAATTCAGCTTGAAAATTGTCATTTCATTTGCATTTGACTGAGTTCTCTAAAATTCCATTAAATTCTCAAAGATTTCTAAGTACAAGAGTATACGCAAAACTTTTTAAAAATGAAAGAAAGGAGCAAAGCAGATAGGGATATATACCTCTTAGCAACATCACTGGGTCTCTCCCCTGCTGTGTTGGTAATGTTACTGTCTGCTCCCATTTTAATTAACCACTGCAAACACTCTATATGACCTTGTCCAGCAGCTGTTAAAAAAAAAGGAAATAAACACACACATACACACAAAAGAAAAAAATACACAAAGTACACATATACAAAAAGTTATCAGTAACAATTTTCTAAAAATTTGGACAGCACCATTATAGAGTACTTTCTTAAGTACTGATCCTTGCAGTAACTAACAAAAGTAGTTGGGCAAATGTTACTTTCTCTATTTTATTTATTTATTCATTAGACAAACATTTAATCAAATATCTACTGTATTCAGGCCTTTTACAGAGAATTTCACATAAATGTAAAAGTTGAAGCTCAAAGAGGTTATTTATTTATTTAACATCACATGGCTGGTAAGAAAGAACTTGAAGCTAGAATCTAGGCTTTTCTAATTTTATCTAGTGCTTATCTCCTAAATAGCTCCTAACCGATCTCGTATCACAACAGAATGTGAGCACATTCCAACCATAGGGACCTCCATAGAATTCAAAAGTATTGCTCCATCATACATATAGGTATATATATATATATATTCCTCTGACTATTACAACTCAAAACTTACAGGCCTCTTAAGCCACATTTCTTTACTTAAACTGTTATCACCTTTGTCTAACTCTTATCCTCAAAACACACTCACTCTATATTAATTTTCACCTCCACAACTCTGCTTATGTATCTTCCCACCTAAAGCCCATCACTTAACTATGTGTTCATTTAAATTCTACCTAATCTTCTTGGTCCATTTCAAAACTCAGTGAAGCTGTGAAAAACAAACTGAATAGACTTAAAAGACTTGAGTTTAAGTCTGCTAACCAATGAGACTTGAATACAGGACAATGATCTTCAAATTCCCAGAACTTAGCAAGTGGCTGACACATAAAGACCCTAAATAAATGTCTATAGGGTTAATAAATGAATGTATGATAAATATGAATGAATGAAATCGTAGCTCTGCTCTTACTAGCTGTGTAACCTCAGTCGAGGAACTTGACCTCTCTAACCTCAATTTCCTCATCTTTTACATAAATGTTTTTTTATTTATAAGGAGAGCACACTGCTGCTTCATAAAATTGCAATACAAATTAAATGTGATAAGAGCTTCGCACTCTGTTAAGTGTCATATAAACTCAGGTATTATAACTAAATCCCCAGGAGTAGTTCCTCAATAATTTGATCATTAGCAACTTCTTCCATCCCTCAATTCCTATTCCTGAATTCTTATTTCATGTATTTTAACAATCTAACATTTTTTGCCATTAGTTACATCCTGTATTTAAAAAATCTCTAGTTGTTTCATGGTATAAGCATGTAGCTCCTTAACAGTAAGGTCCAGATCTCATTCTGTCTCCACAGTATGGGCACATAGTTGGTGCTGAATATATATATATGTGACTTTGCAAAATGGATCGAAGAGTAGGAACTTTTGTTATGAAATTGGTGCCTTAAAGAGTGAACCTACCTCCAATACTGGCAACAGAAAGGAAAGGACACAGAGCCATACCAAGTGACTAAACAACTCTTTCACTACCACACTATAGCCCAGATGGCAAAGGTCTGTAAGAACTCTTGTTCTGTCCTCTGCCTTACTCAGAACCATCTGCCAAACTCCAAGTTGGCTCCTGGAGTTTGGAGATTCTTTCTCTCCTGCAGCCTATCCAGAACCAACTAACAAAGAATACTATAGCATTTCCCATACCCATATAAATAGCCCCACTTTAGATAAAAACAGCAACATATTTTGTCTTTTCTGTCATTAAAAGTCATAAAATCATTATTTATGATCATGAATAATGCTGAGTTTTACAAGACAGAATAAATTGAGCCCGACATTTCAATTTTATCACACAGGTAATGTTTTTAAAAAGGGAGGGAAGCTAACTAATTTATCTACAATGAAATATAATAAAAGGATTTTTACCCAAGATTCTTATTGAATACCAATTAGGATATTGTTAATTTGATCAATGTTTTGTGAAAGAATAAGATAAAATTATGCAGTGGTTAAAAATTTTTAAGAAATGATTTGAAATAATTATGGTTTAAGAGTAAGTGAAAGAAAGGGGAAGTCACAGCAGATTTAAACAATTATTAAATGACTAAGAAGAATGCCTCATTAATAGATACTACAGCTTATCTACTGAATCAAAACTAAAACAAAAGGAAAAAAGCAGATAGATTGACAAAATGCAGGAAATGTGAACTGAGCTATAAGGAGATACCAACTTTCATAACAATCTAAACATACAGATGGTCCCCAACAAAAGGCTAATGTCCCCAAGAAAACACCATCTGCCCCACCCCAGCCCTGGGAGTCCTTGATAGACAGACTCATAAGAGGGGGTGAAGGGCAAACTCCTGGCTCCTTCTCACTTTCACCCTAGTATCCTCTAGCAATGGCTATGTTCCAAACACCCTGCTGTAGATCAGTCTTTTAGAACCTTCTTCCAGATCCCTCATTTCTATCACAGTTCAAGTAGTGAAGAAATGACTGCGATAGGCTGAAAACCAGCCATCAGTGACAGTTTAACTTACTGTTCCCTCAAAGATGCACTCACCATGAGTGAGCCTACCTTTTATCACTGTGTCCAAATGATACCACACACAAATTAGCAATAAAAACTGATTATAAACAGGATATGAAATGCAGGCTGTAATGGTTGTGTTATGGGCTGAATTGTGTCCCCCTCAAAATTCTTATGTTGATGTCCTAATCCCCAGTACCTCAGAATGTGACTGTATTTGGAGACAGGGTCTTTAAAGAGTCAATTAAGGTCAAATGAGGTCATAAGTGGTGGGCCCTAATCAAATTTGACCGATGTCCTTGTAAGAAGAGGAGATTAGGACATAGATGGCTGTGCACAGAGGAAAGACTCAAGGGCACAGCGAGAAGGCGGCCATCTGTAAGCCAAGGAGAATTCTCAGAAGAAATCAAACCTGCCAACACTTCGATCTCAGATTTCTTGCTTCCAGAACTATGAGACAATAAATTTCTATTGTTTAAGCCACTCAGTCTGTGGTATTTTGTTGTCAGCCCTAGTAAATTAAGATAGGAGCTTTGCTCCAAGTAATCACATTTTTAAAAATAAAAAACTTTTTTTTATGTACATGTTAAACCTCCTCCCCATTCACAGCTTAACCCAACCCCTGAATGGCCAGCAGAGATGGATAGAGTGAAATATCAAACTCTAGGGCAGAGAGTTCACCAATCTAGGGACCTCTCTATGTATAGAAGAAAACTCCCTTACATTGCCCCTCTTCCTACTCCACATCCCCCCATAAAACTGTTGGTACACATAGTGCTTAGCTTCTGTACTTTGAGATACATTATGGATTAAACAAAGTTTAACAAGCACACTAAAAACCTAACCAGTGGAAACATAATATATAATCTAGGGACGGTCAGAAGTAATTTATGAAATAAAGCCCAACTAAAACAGATGATTGTATTAAAAAGCATACTATCGGCCTAGCGCGGTGGCTCATGCCTGTAATCCTAGCTCTCTGGGAGGCCGAGGCGGGCGGATTGTTTGAGCTCAGGAGTTCGAAACCAGCCTGAGCAAGAGCGAGACCCCGTCTCTACTAAAAATAGAAGGAAATTAATTGGACAACTAAAAATATACAGAAAAAATTAGCCGGGCATGGTGGCACATGCCTGTAGTCCCAGCTACTCGGGAAGCTGAGGCAGAAGGATCACTTGAGCCCAGGAGTTTGAGGTTGCTGTGAGCTAGGCTGATGCCACGGCACTTTAGCCAGGGCAACACAGTGAGACTCTGTCTCAAAAAAAAAAAAAGCATACTATCTTTTTGCTCTTAAGAATTTTATAAGAATCACTTGACATCAGATCATGAAGAAACTTTGAACATAATATCACGAATGAAACAGAATGTAAATTTCAGATGAAGTATGTTAAAGACTGGTTTTTGCTTTTATAAATAAAAGGAAGAGTACCAAGCATAATTCCTAGAGTCCGAACAATGAGTCAATAATTTGACAGTCTAATTAAAAACCAAAAAAACCTGATCAATATTATAGAATTCCATATGGAAGAAAGAGTACAGAGAAAAGTGGCAAACATCTTGAAAATGTGTTCAAATCTAACATCCACTGATATTTCCACATAAGTAAAAACATTTTCGTAGAACAGGAAAAGAAAATTCTGCTGTAAATATTTTCAAGAAATATGCTTTCTATTTTAGCATAAGGTCATTCTAAAATTTTATCCTAAAAAACTTCTCTAGTAGAACATTTTGTATCTTCACTAACATGACAATGTCACAATAGACATTCTATTGAAATTACCCTCAAATGTGATAATGCATGAATATCTGGCAACATAAAAGGAACATTACACTTGAATTGAAAATTAGGCATTGTGTATACCATATAATATAGACTGATATCTGCTAGGGCATCAGAAAAAAATTTTATGTTTTCATATGTTTCTGACTGATAATTACTTTAAGATATGAACAACTCAGCAACAATAGTGTCAGAACTGAACATGAAAGAGGAATCATAATAACTCACCTTTATGCATAGGAGTTGATCCATTATCAGCACGCTCGTTAATATTGATTACTCCATCTTCTACTAATTTTTTAAGCATTTCCAAATCACCCTTAAAGGCAGCAACATGACCTGGAAATGCTAAAGCTATGAATAAAAAATTCAGCAATTCAGGAAACACATGAGCTTATTCTTTTCCCTGTCTTAAGCTATCATATATTTCAGGTTTCAATATTATCTCAAGTATGAATGAGGCTGTTATATTGGAATGAGCTCAGTTGATGCAATGACAAGTAATGAAAAGAGAATTATAAAATAAATTATAAAATAAGTTTATTACTAATTGTGATACCATTCCTCCCCTCAGGACTTCAAATATATCAGAAGTATTGCACCAGAACTATTCTTAGCCCAATTCTTTTTTCTCCCTCATGCCACCACAAAGGGGATGGTCATTTTTAACCCTTTGTATAAAGACACACTTGGTCTCAAGGCCTGCATTTGCACAGACCACTCCCTCTCCGCAAGGAAGCAAAGACAGCAAAATAGACTAGAAGCAGATTAGAAGTGTGTGTGCGCCCATATACAGTTATCCTTCAGTATCCTCAGGGGATTGGTTCCAGAACCTCCTCAGATACCAAAACCTATGGATGTTCAAGTCCCTTACATAAAACAGCATATTTGCATATAACCTATGCACATCCTCCAGTATACTTTAAATCATCTCGATTACTTATAATACCCAATACAATGTAAATAGTTGTCATAATGTATTGTCTTTTATTTGTATTATTTTTTATTGTTGCATTGTTATTTTTTTCCTGAATATTTTCAATCCATGGTTGGCAAAAGTTTTAAGAGTCTAACAATACTGAATACTGAGTTTCTCTAAATCCTTACCCAACACTGCTGATGAAAGTGTTAAAATTCTACAACCACTTTGACGAAGAATGCAGCAATACCTTTTATATTGAAGATGGGCATATCCCACAAAGCAAAACCTAAAGTAGTTCTCTATTTATCAAGGTACTTAGAAATAAAGCTGAACTCTTAATTCTGAGAGACAGGCAGGACCTTGAGAAGTCTCATTCAATGATTCCAGTATGCCATACGAATATTATCACTTTCTATGTGGCCTATGTGTGAAAAAGGTAGGGAAGCACTTCTCTATCTACATGTACATAAGGAGACCTGTACAAGAGTATCCATTACCACATTGATTGTAATAATGAAAAACTGTAAGGAAACTAAATGTCAAATGGAGAATAGATAAATAATGGTTTTCACAGAATGAAATAAAGTAAATAAATAAAATAATAAACTAGGATATATCTATTAACCTAATAATCAAAAAATCATAATATTTTATGAAAAAAAATCACAGAGGGATATGTACTTTTTTATCCCATTTATATAAAGTTTTAACAGAAGTTTCGAAGACTGCTAGTTGTCTACCAAAATCCACTTCTTTCAACAGTAATAGATTTGCAGCTGGGATAAGGCTTCCCAGCTAGGTAATGAATATTGCAGGCTTCTTTGCAGCTATTTATGGCCATCTGAGTAAACTTTTGCCAATGGAGTGCTAGCAAAAGTGGTTAAGTGCAACGTCCACCTTGGAAATCTCCGGGCCTAGATTTATGATACCCTTGTTCCCTCCCCACCCACTGCTGGATTAGCAACAACTACAGAGAGTTTAGAAGACAGTAGGTCCCTGAATGACTAAATGGAACAGATTGACTCTCTAACCCAAGCGGTCATATACAAGAAATAAATATCTACCTCATTTAAGTCACTGAATTTTAGGATTTCTTTATTACAGCTATTTAGCCTCTTAACCTAACAAATACAAAAAACTATACTATATATTTTATGAATATATATATTATATAAATAAAATAGAAAATCACAGAATAGAATGATAAATCCAAAATAATAGCCTACCCTGGAGGAGGAACAAAAGGTAATGGTATGAGGAAGAGAGATTCAAAGGACTTCAGCTCTATAATATTTTACTCTTCAGTGATATAAACAGTGCTCATTATGTTAATCTCTACATATTTTTGTCTAAAATATTTCATAATAAAGAATCTGGATGAAAGTATGGGCAATATATGTAATACACTTTAATATAACATTTGCCTTATAATTTCTTTTCCTACTCCATTGATTCTACTTATCATATCATCATCATATTATATACTAAAACATATCAGCTATATTACTTACTTTCCTGATCTTCTGGATGATTTCCTTTATACTCAGCTCCCTGGATAAACTGTAAAATGTTCTGCTTAAAGAACCTCTGCGCCAGGTCCAGTACATTTTCTCCATTATCATTGAAGGCTTTTAAAGCTTGTGTCGCACTGCTCATTCTACTGAATAGGAATTTAAAACAGTGAAGGTGGCCTTCCATGGCTGATAAGTGAACTATAGGTAAGGGAAAAAAAAAAGGTTAATTATAAAATTGAGATTAAAATAACTTGAAAAAAGAATTAACATATTAGTTCTAATCCTCATAAGGAGATGACTATTCTAGCCCCATATGACAGGGACTTTCCCTGAGCAAGGAGAAAAGCCCTTTTTCCATCCTGTATCTCTTTACACAGTCGGCCATCTAGTCATGGCAAAGCAGTAGACTAAATGGTTGAATAGTTACACTTACTGTGAGTAGAGAGAGACCAGATGAGGGTCACCAAATAGCAGGCCCCAGAAAATTATCTTAGAAAGTGAAATCCCAATTATGCACCTTATGATTACATGAGAAAATTCTTATTATGTGCAAAAATAAATAAATAAAATTTAACATTTGGGGGAAAAGGTAGAAGAAATAAACCAAAATAGTCACTATGAAAGTATGAATGATATTATTGTCACTTTCCTATAATATTATTTTTATTATAAATAAGAAGATTGGATCAAAACTGCACACTAAGCACACACACACTCTGACCTCACAATTTCCAGCCTAAATCCCTAAAAATAATAGAAAAGGTATTTTTTAAAGCCATAAAAAACTAAAGAAACAAGAATGCCATGAACAGATAAGAAATTTTAAGGAATCACTGAAACAATGCATATTGGATCAGACTGAGGGATTGACATAACCCAAAACTTTCTGCAAAAAAGAAAGGGAATGGCTCTGGAGTTATTACAAGCTTAGAGGCAATGATCACAAACCCAACATAACGATAACTCTCAAGGAATTAGGAAAGCGAGAATAAACCAAACCCAAAATTAATAGAAGGAAAGAAATAATAAAGATTAGAGCAGAAATAAATGAAATTGAGACTAGAAAGAAATGCCAAAGATCAACAAAACAAAAAATGGGTTTTCTTAAAAGATAAAACTGATAAACCTTTAGCCATACTAAGAAAAAAAGAGAGAAGATCCAACTAAATAAAACTGGAAACAAAAAAGAAGGCATAAGAACTAAGACCAAAGAAATGCAATCATTAGAAACTATTATGAACTACATGCCAAAAAATTGGAAAAACTAGAAGAAACGGATAAATTCCTTGACACATACAACCTATCAAGATTGAAACATGAAGAAATAGAAAACCTCAACAAACCAATAACAAGTAATGAGACTGAAGCCATAACAAAGTCTCCTATCAAAGCAAAGCCCAGGACCTGATGGTTTCACTGCTGAATTCTACCAAACATTCAAAGAAGAACTAATACCAATTCTACTCAAATTCTTCAAAAAAAATTGAACAGGGAGGAATATTTCCAAATTGATTCTATGAGGCTAGCATTATCTTGAATCCAAAACTAGACAAGGACACAACAGAAAAAGAAAACTCCAGGCCAATATCACTGATGAACATAGATGCAAAAATCCTCAATAAAATACTAGCAAACCAAATTTAAAAACACATTAAAAAGATCGTTCACCATAATTAAGTGGGATTCATCCCAGGGATACTAGGATGGTTCAACATATGCAAATCAATAAACATGATACATCACATTAACAGAATCAAGAACAAAACCTATATAATTTTTTCAACAGATGATGAAAAAGCATTTGATAAAATTCAGCATCCCTTTATGATAAAAACCCTTGTTAAACTGGGTACAGAAGGAAAATACCTCAAAATGATAAAAGCCATATATATGACAAACTCATAGCCAACAATGTATTGACTGGGGAAAAATTGAAGGCCTTTCTTCTAAGATCTGGAACAAGACAAGGATGCCCACTTTCAACACTTTTATTCGACACAATACTGGGAAGACCTGGCCAGCACATTAGGCAAGAGAAAGAAATAAAAGGCATCCAAATTGGAAAGAAAGGAGTCAAATTAGCCTTGTTCAAAGATGACAAGATTTTATATTGAGAAAAATCTAAAGACTACACACACACACACACACACACACACACACACATACACACACATACACACAAACTGTTAGAACTAATAAACCAATTCAGCAAAGTTGTAGGATACAAAAATCAGCAGCATTTATTAATATATATGCCAACAGCAATCTGAAAAAGAAATCAAAAAAGCAATCCCATTTATAATAGCTACAAAAGATATAAAATACCTAGAATCAATCTAACCAAAGAAAGGAAAGATCTATACAAGAAAAACTATAAAACTCTGATGAAAGAAATAGAAGAGGATACAAATAAATGAAAAGATATCCCATGTTTATGGATTAGAAGAATTACTATTGTTAAAGTGATAGTACTACCCAAAGCAATTTATAGAGTCAATGAAATCCCTATCAAAATACCAATGTCATTCTTCACAGAAACAGAAAAAAAAAATCCTAAATTTGTACAGGACCACAAAAAAGCCCAAAGAGCCAAAGTAATTCTAAGCAAAAAGAACAAATCTGCAAAAATCACTACCTGACTTCAAATTTTACTACAAAGCTAAAGTTACCAAAACAGCATGGTACTGGCATAGAAACAGACACACAGACCAATGGAACCGAATAGAGAGCCCAAACATTAAGTCCACACATTTAGAACTCACTCAACTTCAACAAAAGTGCCAAGGCCATACAATGAAGAAAGGACAGTCTTTTTAATAAAAGATGCTGCGAAAACTGGATAAACACAGGCAGAAGTATGAAACTAGACCTTATTCTCTCACCGTATACAAAAGTCAAATCAAAATACATTAAAAAATTAAATGTAAGACTTAAAACTACTAGAAGAAAACACTGGGGATACACTCCAGAATATTGGTCTGGGTAAAGAATTTTTGGGTAAGACCTCAAAAGCAAAAGGAATCAAAACAAAAACAGACAATTGGTATTACATCAAACTAAAAAGCTTCTGCCTACTTTCAACTAAGTGAAGAGACAACCCACAGCATAGGAGAAAATATTTGCAAACTATCCATCTGACAAGGGATTAATAACCAGAATATATAAGGAGCTAAAACAACTCAATAGCAAAAAAAAAAAAACAATAATAAAAATCCAATTAAAAAATGGGCAAAACTGTGTGGAAGGAATGGATTGCTTAAAAAAATGGGCAAAAAGATCTGAACAGATACTTCTCAAAAGAAGGCATACAAATGCCCAAGAGGTATATGAAAAAAATACTTAACAGCACTAATTATCAGAGAAATGTAAAGCAAAACTACAATGAGATATCATCTCACACCAGTTAAAATGGCTTTCATCAAAAACACAGGCAATAACAGATGCTGGCAAGGATATGGAGAAAGGGGAACCCTCATACACTCTTTGTTGGAATGTAAATTAGTACAGCCACCATGAAGAATAGTACAGAAGTCTCTCAAAAAAACTCAAAACAGAACTACCATATGATCCAGCAATTCCACTACTGGGTATATATCCACAGGAAAGGAAATCAATTTATCAAAGAGGTATCTGCACTCCCATGTTTATTGAAGCTCTATTCACAATAGCCAAAATATGGAATCAACCTACATGTCCATCAACAAATGAATGGATAAAGAAATGTGGTATACAGACACAGTGAAATATTATTCGGACATAAAAAAGAGTGAAATCCTGTCATTTGCAGCAACATGAATGGTAGTGGTTATTACGCTAAGTGCAATAAGCCAAGCACAGAAAAACAATTATTAGGTCATTAAATATGAAATGTCCGATTTGCAATAAAAAGTGTAGTTGATTATATCTCAAACAAGAAACAATACAATTAAAGTATGTGCCTAAACTATCAACACAGTTTTGCCATTTTAACAGTAGCTTGTTTATGCCAGCAATGAAGAAGCCTGGAGAGCGAGTGGAGATGAAATTGCGAAAAGCATTTTACACAGCTTGTTGAGAACTGAATATTTTTTCCTTGCAAGAAGTGGTCCAAAGCCTGGAAGAAATGGTAGTCAGTTGGTGCAAGGTCTGGTGAATATGGTAGAGACAGAGAGTTTCCTAGTCCAGTCTCTGTAGTTTGAGCAGCATTGTTTGAGCAACATGTTATCTTGCAAGAGGACTGGGCTGGCTCTATTGACCAATCTTGGCTGGTTAATCAGAGGCATCCTCATAATTTCATGCAATTGGTGGCAGTAGACATCCACTGACCGGGTTTCATGAAGCTGTAGTGGATAATGCCAGCACTGGACCACCAAACAGACACCATTAGTCTTTTTGATAAATATTTGGTTTTGGACTGTGTTTCAGCACTTCATCTTTATCCAACCATTGTGTCAAACACTTGAGATTATCCAAAAGAATCCATTATTCATCACACATAACAATACAATGTAGAAGTGGTTCACCTTTATGTCGCGACAGCAAAAAAGGCAAGCTTCAAGACAATTTTTCTTCTGACACTCGTTTAATTCACGAGGTACCCATCTATCCAGCTTCTTTACCTGGCCCATTTGTTTCAAATGGTCCAATACTGTTGGAATAGTAATGTCAAAGCTTGCTGCTAATTCATGCATAGGTTGAGATGGATTCACTTCCACTATGGCTTTCAGCTCATCATTATCCACCTTGGTCTCAGGTCACCCACATGGCTCATTTTCAAGATTAAAATCACTAGAATGGAATTTCTCCAACCATCAACATATTGTGCATCCATCAGCCACATCCTTCCCAAACAGTTCACTGATATTTCAAGCTGTCTGCACTGCATTGGTTCCACGACAGAACTCATATTCAAAAACAACACGAATTTTGGACTTATCCGTAATTTTGGACTTATTCAAAAATATTGCTCTAAAAAAATTTGAAAGATAATCACAAGCCAAACCATGTGCTTGAAAGAATAAGGAGGTAACTTCACAATAGAAATAAAACAAGAAGTGTCAAAGCAAAATGTCAGAGATATCAACTGTCAAACTTAGTACTTAAGGAAATCGGACATTTCATACTTAATAATCTAAATATATTACATGTTTTCACTCATATGTGGGAGCTAACAAAGTGGATCTCATGAGGACAAAGAGTAGATTGGTGGCTACCAGAGGCCAGGAAGAGTTTGTGGGGGTAGGATAAAGAAAGGTTGATTGGTGGGTATAAATATACAGTTAGATAGTGTTTGGTCAGGTACGGTGGCTCACATCTATAATCCTAGCACTTTGGGAGGCCAAGGTAGAAGGACTGCTTGAGGTCACGAGTTTGAGACTAGCCTGAGCAAGAGCAAGACCCTATCACTACCTCTATGAAATATAGAAAAATTAGCTGGCTGTGGTGGCACACACCTGTGGTCCCGGCTACTTGGGAAGCTGAGGCAGGGGAATCGCTTGAGCCCAGGAGTTTGAGGTTGCTGTGAGCTAGGCTGATGCCACGGCACTCTAACCAGGTGACAGAAAAACCTAGTGTTTGATAGATTGGTAGGGTGACTGTAGTTAACAGTAATCTAATGTCCATTTCAAAATAATCAGAAGAGAATAATTCAAATGTTCCCAGCATAAAGAAAAGATAAATATTTAAGGTAATAGATATCCCAACTACCCTGATTTGATCTTAACATATTATATGAATGTATCAAATTATAACATGTACCTCTAAAATACATATATCTATTATATATCAATAAAAAAATAATTTTTTGAGAGAGGTCTGAACACAAGCAGTCTAGTCCCAAGGACATATTCTTAACCTGTACATTATACTATTATAAAATATACAATACATGATTATAAAATAATTGTACATGTTTGGAGAAACAATTGAATTTTTTTTAATGAGCAGATAAAAGACTAACAAAGATGATCAGGTATATTTGATAAAGAACAACACAAAAATGAAACTGACCCCTACCTTGTATTACACACAGAAAAAGTAAGTTCCAAATGGGTTGGGGATATAAATGTGAAAGTAAAATAATAACATTTCTAGAAGATAATATAAAAGAATGTCTTCCTGACCCAGAGGAGGGAAAGATTTTTTTGAACAAGATACAGAAAGCACTAGCCATGAAGATAGAGATTATTAAACTAGACTACAGTAAAATTAAAACTTCTATTCATCAAACGATACTTAAAAGAATGAAAAGGCAAAGCACAGATGGAAAGGATATTTGTATGAAAAGATATTTGCAACATATTTAACTGACAAAGGGCTTGTACCTAGAATATATAAAGAACTGTTTCAATTCAGTAAGTAAAAGGTAGATGATCCAATAGAAAATAGGCAAAAGAGTTGAACTGGTACTTCACAAAAGAAATATCCATTAAACATATGAAATGATGTTCAACATCTTTAATCATCATAGCAACTATAAATTGAAACCACAATGAAATATCACTATACATCCATCAGAATGACTAAAACTAAAAAAACCTAATAATACCAAGTGTTATTATTTTATTCCATAGAGTTCAAAAAGTGAAAAAACTAAATGCATGTCAGAAGTTAGTAATTAACTCTGGAGCATGGAAGTAATTAGAAAGGGGACATGAGGGAAACTTATACGTGCTAGTAATAATTATTTTTTTTTTCCTGTAGAGACGGGGTCTTGCTATATTGCTCAGTCTGGTCTTGAACTCCTAGACTGAAGGGATCTTCCTCCCATCTCACCACCGACAAAGTGCTGGAATTACAGGCTTAAGCCACCATGCCCAGCCAGTAATATTCTACTCTTAATCTGAATGATGGTTACAAAGAAGTGTTCATTTGTGAAAATTTAATGAGCTGTGTATTTGAATTGGGCACTTTCCTATATGCATGCTATACTTCAATTTAAAATTTTATTTAAAAAAATAAATAAAAAGAATGAGAGAAAAATAAAGTTATTTTCAGATACACAAAAATTGAGACAGTGCATGCCAACAGACTTTCACTAAACAAACCACTATAAGATGCATTTTAGAAACAAGCAAAACGATCGCAGATAGTAGCGTAAAGGCATAGAAGATGAGGCCAGGGAGGTGGGTAGGATTCACATTATGAAGGTACAGCATACTATGCTAAGGAATCAAGAGGCTCCACAGCGATCCAGGGAGGTTCTAAACAGCAAAGTGATTTGATCAGATCTGTTCATATTATTCTGTCTGGCTTTCCCCTTCATATATTTGCTTCTCTAAGATATAATTCAAGTATCATTTTCACTCCAATCTATGATCTGTCCCTCTTCTGAATTTCTATAGCACACTTCTTAAAGAAGATAGGGTGCTTAGAGCCTAGGTCTCAAGTGGCCAGCTTACTGCAGGTTAGACAACTGAAGTAGCAAACTAACTCAAATACACTAGTATCCTCCATTTATACAGTGCTGTTTAAAAAATAAAAAAGTTGTCTGTGGGGCAGAGAAGTATGAAGTTAAAAAATATTAATAAGAACACTATAAATAGATGAAAGAAAGAGCTGGTGGGAAGAGAAAATCTGTGTTTAATTTTGCCAATTTCTTTTTTGCTGATGTGGTTGCAGAAAAAAAAAATCAGTCACACAAGGGATATAAAACATAGGTGTCACGTAGGATAAAATATGTTCATGTCAACATATTTACTACTTAGTTTTGGAAGGGACTAATAGAATGATGACAGTTTCAATTTCTGAAACATGGTCAAATATTTAAAAGTTTACATTAATGAAAAACTAAAATATTTGCTTTTTTTTTTTGAATACCTGGAAGGTTCCCATTGCAGTCCACATCTTCTATGCTACATCCCCATTTAACAAGAAGCTGCAAACAGCCAAGCCGCCCATGAAAAGCTGCATAATGTACAGGTCTCCATTCTCTCTTATCAGTCATGCTGGGATCCTAGAGGTAACATTCACAAGGACTCAGTTTCTTTCCATTTTTTAGGGAAAACATTAAGCCTAGCAGCTTAATTCTACAAATAAGAATTGGAAACTGTTCATAAAACTATAAGTCAAACACTAAATATAATAGAAAAATTTACTGCAACCACTAATTTGAACATATTAGCTAATATTAGTGAAATTTTATAAATTAGCTTTTTAAAAAAGAACTAGTCACATAAAATAATTTTTGAAAAAGAACTTAACTAGTCATTTTACTAGTCACAGATTCCTGATGAATAAAATGAAGAGATAGATTTAAATGATCAAATCATATCATTGAGAACACAAGCAAATAATTAACAAAAAAATTAATAGGCTTTTCACTTTTTCTCTCATTACAGAAACACCAACTCTTACTATAATGTCTTCAATATAGGTAGTTTTCTTCTTAAAAGAAGTTATTTTTTATAATCACTGGGTAATATTAAAAATAGATGTTGTAATAAATAAGATTTCTGGAGAGATAAATCATTTTCTAAATTAGTATATGAAATAAGAGTTACGAAAGAAATACATAAAACAGAAATTCATAAAGATTTACAATCATCTGATTAAGATTTGTTTAGAAACTTCAGAATCTACCCAGTTAAACTCTGAACTGGCATGAAGAACCTAAACATCTGAAATACTTTGCAATACTAAACTGGTTGTTTTGGGGCAGAGGGAAATTTCTCTGAATTACTGCTCCCATGTTTAAAGATGGAAAAGCTAGAGAGAAAAATTAAATTACTTTCCCAAAGCCATATAAGGAAGTTAAAAAGTCAGAAAGAGATAACCAGACTACCAAATGCTATTCCATCTATATGAATATACGTTAGCACATAAAACAGGAGTCCCTCACCACTCCACTTCGGAGCATTATTTGTAAAGTGAAAGAATGTCCATGAGTTGCAGCAAGATGTAAAGGAGTGCATCCACGATCATCCTGAGCTGTCAGATTTGCTCCATTGATCATGAGAGCCTAAAAGTAGAGAAATGGAATTAGTTTACATGAGCACAGATGTTAAATCATAAATGGAGATACAGATTATTTAAAGGCAGGCAATTTATTAACCTATATATGAATTATTATATATGTTCTTCCATATGTGCTACAGGCAAACTGTGGGAAAAAATGCTTGAGGTCTTTTTTAACTTTGCCTAGGAAGCATTTATAATACCTGATTTTATATTCTGATTTGAGCATGTACATACAATTTATAAGATACACTTTTCATGAGCAGAGATTAATAACCACTAAGATACTTTATAGCTAAGCTATTAAAACTGAAATTTAAACTTCCACTATTTTAAAATCTGAATCTTTTATTAACTGGGTTTTGAACCCAATGAAGGAATTTAATTATTAAAGTTACATTCTAAGCTCCAAATCAAGCTTCTAACTACATCTAACCAGGTTCCATCTGAATTTGCAATTGGTCCAGTTTCTACATAACAAGGTTATACCATAAACACAGCACACCCCTCTATATAATATACAGAGTAATTGGTTTAAAAGAATTATTAGTGCCCAACTTCAACATTTGCTACAAAGGTACAGTAATCAAGATAGTGTGTTATTGGCCAAAGAATAGACAAATGATTAACGGAACTGAATAAAGAACTCAGAAATAGACACACAAAAATACAGTCAATTGACCTTTGTCAGAGGAGCAAAGGCAATATAATGGAGAAAAGATTGTCTTTTCAACAAATGTTGCTGGAAGAACTGAACATCCACATATAAAAAACAATGAATCTAAACACAAACCTTATACAATTTAAAAAATTAAATTAAAATGGATCACAAATCTAAATGCAAAACATAAAAGTATAAAACTCCTAGAAAATAGCATAGGTACATAACACCATGAATGTTTCCTAATCTATAAAAAGGGAACTCATAGATTTGTTGTGTTAAATGACATGATACATGGGAGACTGTGATTGGCACATAATAAATGCTCAATAAATAACAATCATTCTTTTTATTTGTTCCTAACATATTCCCCACGTAAAATGCTTTCTTACTACTTACCTCTTTAAAATCAACCCATTCTTTTGGGCTTAGCTGATGTTTTATTTCCTCCATTTATGATTCTTCTATCTCCTTCTAAGTTCTATAATTCTTTTCATCTATACTTTTCATTAAAACTCTAATCATACACTTTGCTTTGTATTGTTTTATAACTCACTAAGTAGAGTTCCTGTCATTTCAAACAGAATCTCAGGCTTCTTATAGGCAGAGACAGTTTGTTTACACAATTCTCTATTCTTACAAATTCCAGTCTATTTCAGCACACTGATTAAATCTAGTTACTCTAATAAACTGGATCCCACCACATACTAATGTGTTACCCTGGCAGGAAACATATTAAATAAACAATTTTAGGCATGGCAAATGCCTAAAATTTTAGTCTGCTTGGGCTACTATAACAAAATACCATAACCTGGGTAGTTTAAAAACAACAGAAATTGATTTCTCACAGTTCTGGAGGCTGGGAAGTCCAAGAACAAGGTGCTGGCAGACTCTGTCTGATGAGGGCCCATTCTGCATAGACGGAGCCTTCTCACTGAATTCTCATATGGTAAAGGGGCTAGCTAGTTCTCTTGGGTTTCTGATAATGGCATTAATGAGGGGAAAGCACTCATAACCTAATCACCTCCCAAAAGACCCCACTTCCTAATACCATCACCTTGGGTGTTAAGATTTCAACCTATTTATTTTGGAGGACACAAACATATGGACTATAGCAGCAAGCTATAAAGAAGATGATCTGGGCATCACTGTGACATCCCTCAAAACCACCCAAATAGATAGCCAACTACTTCAGAGAGAGAAGAATATCTAGTCTCATATCATTTGTTTTGAATGAACAGTTGGTATCCAAATATCTGAGTCATCTGAGTTGTGAAATCCAGTAAGTTCTTGTTTAGAACGTATAACTAAATGCATTGGATCAAATAATTGGAATAATAGCAGTAGCCCAACAGAATTATGCTAAAGTAATTGAACTTACTGAATTTTAAAAATGTAATCATTATTATTGCTGATTGCAGAACCTTGGGAAAAAAAAAAGTAAACCCAAGTTATTATTACCTGCATACAAGCATCCTGACCCCTGATTGCAGCTATGTGAGCTGCTGTCCAACCTCTTGTAGTTACTTGTGTGATATCAGCTCCATGCCAGAGCAGCCAATGAAGACACTAAGAAAATAAGAATGTTAACAAGTGATAAGGCAGATTTCTGAACATCTTTATGTCTTTTTTTAAACTTAGTCCATTATCATGAAATCTCCACTGTAGCTCGAGAAGCATCATAAGTAAACAACGGTACAAGATATAGGAAAAAACAGGTACAGTGTGGTGAATCATGCCTGTAGGTTCAGCTATTGGAAAGGCTGAGGCAGGAGGATTGCTTGAGCCCAGGAGTTTGAGTGAGCTATGATCATGCCAATGCACTCTAGCTAGGCCGATAGAGCGGGACCCTGTCTTTTAAAAAAAAAAAGAAGAAAGAAAAAAAGAATAACTTCAGTGTCCCAAAGAAAACAATTGCAAAACTAGATAAAGTTGTCAAAACAACCATTTAAAGATTCTGGAAATTGGCCAAAGGCATAGAACAAAATGCAAAGTATTTGTTAAAGAAAATCTACTAGGCCAGGCGCGGTGGCTCATGCCTGTAATCCTAGCATTCTGGGAGGCCGAGGCAGGCAGATCGCTCGAGGTCAGGAGTACGAGACCAGCCTGAGCAAGAGCGAGACCCCGTCTCTACTAAAAATAGAAAGAAATTATCTGGACAACTAAATATATACATATATATAGAAAAAATTAGCCGGGCATGGTGGCACATGCCTGTAGTCCCAGCAACTCGGGAGACTGAGGCAGTAGGATTGCTTGAGCCCAGGAGTTTGAGGTTGCTGTGAGCTAGGCTGACGCCACGGCACTCTAGCCCGGGCAACAGAACAAGACTCTACCTCAAAAACAAAAAAGTGTTAATGTAGTGTTCAAGTAGAGATTTAGGAGATGATCCTTAAGTGGGAATGGAGAAAGGCACCAAAATCTTTTGGTTTACATTGATTTTTGTTAAAATTCAACAAATATTTATTGAACATCTGCTATGTACTGTGCCAGACACTAAAAATATAAATATAAATTTAATTCAACAAATTCAGCAATACAACATTTATTGAGAACCTACAATGTGACTCCAATATGCCAAACACTATGCTAGGTGTCATGGAAAAAAGATGAATAAGACCCAAATGCTACCTTCAAAGAGCTTAAAATCTAATAAAGAATACAATTCAATAAATGGAATTTTTAAAATGTATAAGATTTAACCACATGTTCTCACTTATAAGTGGGAGCTAAGCTGTAGGGATGCAGGGACATACAGAATCATACACGGTCATTTTTTTTTAACATCATCAGGTGTCCCTGAACTGGGTCCTAGCCTTATTCAGAACTACTACACTGTCCCCTCCACCTGCCCCCGCCCCCAACACACACACACATACACTCTCTCACATGGAAAGTATAATGACATTGGAGACTCAGAAGGGGGAGGGTAGAAAGGGGACTGAGGGATGAAAAACTACCTACTGGGTACAATGTACACTATTTAGGTGATGGGTATGCTAAAAGCCCAGACTTCACCACTATATAATTCATCCATGTAACTAAAAACCATTTGTACCCCTATATCTATTGAAATTTTTTTAAATGTGTAAGATTTAGGGGTAGCACTAAGGAGTCAGTAGCTAGTTGGGAAATATTGAGAGGGGAAACACATAAGGCTTTACCAAGTGAGTGCTCCCGGACCTGGGTTTCAACCATGTAATCACTGGGAAAAGGTGAGACCAGGTAGATGAAACAGCATGTGCAAAGTCTATGATAATATTGAAAGTAGACTAGTTTGGGAAATGATAGCAGTCACCAGCACTATAGCATAAAACATTTATGATGGGACATGAGGTTGGAGAGAGAAGTCTGCCAAGTTAAACGGCTGAACTTTATCCTTTAGGGGACAGAGAGTCCCTACAGGGTTTTAAGGGGATTTTAAGTAATATAGATTTTAGTTATATACAGATAGCTTTGCACATAGAATATGGACTATAGGTAGACAAGACAAAAATGAAGGAAATCAATTAGATCTAAGGCAATGGCTGTAGGATGGAGAGGACAAATAAATTCAGGAGACAAAGATGGAGCAGAATGAACTGACCTAATGACAAATTCTCACTGCATCAATGTGTATCATGAAATGTACTTTCATTTAGACAAATGTTGATAATTTAGTTTTGCTTTTGTGAAATATTGTGATAACTCAATAATGACTGAAAGATTATTACCCTGGAAAACTACAAAAGGGAAGGAAAAGAATAATGGTTTTAGTTTTAGACCAATTAAATTTGAGATGCCAGTTAGATATGTAAGAGCTATTGATCAAGCACCTAATACATAATCCAAAAGTCAGGAAAAAAAGCAAATATATTAATTATGTATAAGTAATAAAGCCAAGGAAGTCTAAAAGACTGCCTAAAGAGAAAGAGTATAAAGTATGAGAGAGAAGGCCAATGGCAGAAATGTAAAGAATACCTATATTTATAGAGTAGGAAGGGTAAGTTAACCAAAGACCAAGTGAGAGTAATCAGAGGGGCTGAAAGGGTACCAGGAAAGAGATGAAATAAACGGTATATCAAGATGTCTTATTTGGATACGGCGGAGTAAAATCAGTACTTTCCTCTTCTAAAATCACCCAAAAGCAAACAGCAAGAAACAAAGAAAGAAAACTCCAACTGTGATGAAACTAGTAAACACCTGTAACTCAAACCACCAAACAAATGAAAAAGCTGCCAAAGTGCAGATCAAACTGGGAGGTGGGAGGAAAGAGCAGAGAGAACACCTACCCAGGGCTACAAGCTCCCAAAGAGCCATCAAGGTACATTTCTCCCAAACGAGAGGGATCCACTGAAAGGCCAAAGTGAAAATCCCATGTTTACAACAGTACAAGTGAGGCATAGAGACTGGTAGAGGGAGACTCTCTGGACCAGATTTGGTTACAAAAAGCAGAGAAGTCCAAACAATGAAGAAATCACACAGAGTAGCCATATTCATAGAAAATAGTCTGTGTATGTGGCAGGGGTGAAAAAGAGAGACTGCATTGTGAACAGATCTACTGCGGCCTACAGACTAGGGAAATGTAGTAGCTAAAATAAGGCCCCACATACACAACCTTGAATCATGAGAAAAATTCCAGTTGGCCTTGTACACAGCCCAGGAATAAGAAGATTTGCATAAAAATATTCACTAAGCAGTTTGTACTAGCTAAAAATTGAAACCAACTAAATATCCATTAATAGAAAAACAGATAAATTCTGATATCAGTCTAAGAACAGACTATTACAACAGGGCTGAAGGAAATAACCTAGAGTACATATATGTAACCACATGGTTAAAACACAAAAACAAATTGTTGAACAAAAAAAGCAAGCTCCAGAATGATACACATAATATGATGTCATTTATATAAAGTATAATATCATTCAAAATAATTATATAATCATATGTAATAATAGTGTAAAGCATAGATGGAAATAATAAGCACCAAAATCAGGGTAATAGTTATCTCTAGAGTTGGAAGGAGAGGAATGACACCTGAGAGGGGTACTCGGGGACTTCAACCTGAAATATTCCATCTCTTTTCTAAATACCTGAAGCAACTATAGCAAAAATGTCAGGATAGGTATTCATTATGTTATCCTCCACAAGTTATCCTCTATGTTTGTCTCTGGAACCCACCCACATATTGTGAGAAAATATAAACTAGCCCATGTGGAGAGACCTCACAAACAAGCCCACATGGAAAGGTATTAAGGTGCTCAGTCTACAAACAGAATCAACCACCAGACATCTTAGTGAACGAGCATTCAGAAGATTCTAGCACCAGTTTTGAATCTTCTAGCTGAAGCCCCAAACATCATGAAGCAGAGATAAGCTGTCTCTGAGATTCAAATTCCTGGTTCACTCATAAAATAAATGGTTATTTTATGAACCAAAGTTTTGGGGCAATTTGTTATAAAGCCCTAGCAAAGCAGAATACCCAAATATTAAACTGCATTAGACTAAAAAGAAACTATTTGCAGTACATAGCATAAGGTCTCAGCCCTGTTCACTAAATTTACAAAACTGCTACAGCAGTAAACTTACCTCAGTTTAATAATATGTATAGCCTCTTACCTCCAAACTTCCAGAATGTGCTGCCCAATGTAAAGGGCTAAATTTATGAAGAACGTCAACTTCATTAATACTGGCTCCACGTTCCACTATTTCTGAAAGCTGCTTTACATCTCCAGCTCTTACTGCATCATGTATGCTACCAAAATGCACCTTCTTCCTGGTACCTATTGAAAAATCAAATTGCTTAAAACGTGCTACAAAAGTATGAAAGAAAAAAAAACTAAAACAACGATCCAACAGAAAGCACAATATCATTTTGGCTTTCTAAATAATTTGCTACAAAGATGTTTGTGATTAGTATCTTAATCAGACTTCCGGTTTCAGCTCTGACATGTAAAGAGCATGGAGATTGTCCTGTCCTTATAGGGAAAAAACTGAATAAACTGAAAATCAACAACTTTTCTTGGACCCATCAGAGAACTGAGGTCTCAGCGCAAACTGCCACTCCAAACCTAGAGACAAACAAATACAGAGAAATATAGTCAAGTTCAGCTTATCTGGAGCAGAAGTTGCTGGAACCATAAACTGGTAGAAGTACTTAAATGGCAATTTTGATGATTTGCCAGAAGCTGAGTATATACTAGCCTAAGAATGAGAAATTCTTAAGAGCCACTGTCTCAGGAAGTCCTTACACTTTCATCAATTTTTACTTTCAGAAATCCCTACCAGACTATCACTGTGAAGCCAAGAAAAATCACCCCATGTCTTTGGCAGGGGGAGGGAGAAAGTAACCATTCTGAAATATGCTCAGTGTGTTCTCCCCAACAAAGGCCTCCCTAGTGAAAAAGACTTTACAAGAGCCTTAGCTGACATATGCAGATACATTTTATGAATATTTTTCTTATCTTTCTAACTCATATGTCTTACACTAAGAAAGTAAGGAGAAGTCACAAATTTTTCAGGCCCACTATATGTGAAACATTTTAATGTCTATTGTAAACCAGAGGCAAATAAAGGTATCTAAGCATGAATAGATAGTTAGTAGAGGAGGAAGAAGGAGTAAATAGTTCAACTGAAGCATTCCCTAAACAAAACAAAACAAAAAAAATGCATGATTCTGGATGTCAAGTTGTTCTGAAAACAACTTACCAACATTTCTGGCAAATAATCTATGCAACCTTATACTACTATTTATCTAACTATATGTCCTCTTCTCCATAATCAGAATGCTAATTTCTTAAGAGCTAGCACCATGTCTTACACTGGAATCATATCTGAATCATATCTTATACCAACTGTTAGCAAAACGCTATGTGTTGTACTCAAAAATCCTTTCTGAACATCTACCATGTGCCAGGAACTATGATAACATAATGGAAAATAAGCATGGATTTATATTAATACACTTTCCTTCCACCAACACTTTAAAATGTCTTTAGATAAATACAATGAGAACAAAAACCTGATAGCAATGCCCTCAGAGAGTACAGGTAAAATTAAGAGGGAGGAGAAATCAAAGGGATCACAGAAGAAGAGGAACACTTGAGCAACGCCCTAAAGAACAATTAAGTATATGCATTAGGGAAAGAGGGTAGGGGAGGTGTAGACACACACATATACACACACATAAACATTTAATAAATGTTTAATGATGCTAATCCCCTAGGCCAGACCTTCATTTTTCTCCTTTAAACTAGTACAGCAAGACCTACAAATGATGTTATACCTAGTCTAACCCATTTTACACAGGGACACTCTAATCCATTTTATACAGGGAAACTAACCTGATCACTTCATGCCCCTATTCCAAACTGCTACTGGTTGGCCAATGCTGGTCTACAGGGCAAAATCCAAACTCTCAGTATGACAGTATATTCTCCCTCATAATTTGGCTCCATCTAATTTTATGGCCTTTTTTCTCACTACATTCCATCCCAATTCATTAATTCATCCACCCATTCATCCACCCAACATGAATTTGGTGTCTACTATAAGGATAAAAAGACGAAGACTTAGTGTCTACCCTCAAGGAACTCACAGATTAGTAAAGAAAATACAAACAAATTATAAAATAACGTGGTAAGAGCTATGACAGAAATATTCGTAAGAATTATGGACACACAGATGACTTCTAATTTAGCTAGGGTAAGAGGGGAACAGGAAAGGATTCCTGGGGAAAGTAACAGCTACGATGAATCTTCAAGGATTCACAGGAGTTTGCCAGGTAAAGCAGGAGCAGTGAGAGGCCAACTAGGCAGCATGAACAATAGGATATGGTCAAGAAACAACAAAAAAATTTTTCTATTGCTACAGCATAAAGTGGAAGAAGAGGCTAGAACTAGACAAGAAACAGACTATGGTGGAACTTGTAAAAAAAAACTTTGTCTTGAGCAGACAGTAGAGAATCACTGAGGGATTTTCAACAGAATAACTACAATGATCAGATTTGTAATGCTGAAATTACATAGCTGGATGCGGGGAGGGAAATGTATTGACTGGGGAGCAAAAAGACAAGACTAGAGAGTCAGGAAGACCATATAAGAAGATGGCTACAATAGTCTAGACCAGAAAAGTTGAGACTCTCAATTAAGATAGTGGCAGTGGGAACAGGAAAGGAGACAGATTGAACCAAAACTAATGGAAATTGGATAAACTGATTTGGGATGGATACGGTGGGTGAAATAAGGGAAGAGTAAAGGCATAACTCCAAGGTATTGGAGTTAGTCACCTAAGCGCTGTGATGCCATTAACTGTGACAGCAAACACTGAAGGACAGAGATGATGTATGGCTACAAAATTACATTTTGGACATGCTGATCTTCAGGTGCCCAAGGAAGATTTCCAGAAGGAAAACCTGTATATAAGTCTGCAGCTCAGTCAGAGGAGAGATGTGCAATTAAGGTCTCAGTGTTAGGAGTGTCTCAGTATTAAAAAGCTTTTTCTGACCTCCATACTCAATCTATACTGGAACCAATGGCACTCTACTGTCCTTCATAACACCCATCGCACTAGTCATTATTTGCTCAGTATTTATCTTACCCATTAAAAAGTAAGGATGTACCTGTCTTATTTACAGCTATTTCCTTAAGACATAGCATATGGTAGCACTCAATAAATATTTACTGGATGGTCGAATGAATAACATAGATTTGGGGGTCATCAATAGGGTTGAAGTGATAGTACATGACAAGAAAAAGAGGACCAATGATGGCACCATCAAGGGAAAAAAAGCAACATTTAAGGAGAGGGCAGATGAAAAGAAGTCAGCAAAGGAAAGGGAGACTCAATAGAGTGGAAAGAAGAAAACTAGATAAGTCTAATCTGTCATCTCCACAGGGTCAAATGCTTCATTGAAGCCAAGTAAGAATTTAAAAGAGGCCGGGTGCGGTGGCTCACCCCTGTAATCCTAGCACTCTCGGAGATCGAGTCAGGAGAATCCCTTGAGGTCAGGAGTTCGATACCAGCCTAAGCAAGAGCGAGACCCTGTCTCTACTAAAAACAGAAAAAATTAGCCGGGCATGGTGGCGCACGCCTGCAGTCCCAGCTATTCAGGAGGCTGTGGCAGGAGGATCACTTGAGCCCAGGAGTTTCAGGTTGCTGTGAGCTACGATGAGGCCGCTACACTCTGGCAGGAGCGACAAAACGAAACTGTCTAAAATAAATAAATAAAATAAAAAACTTATAATAAGTCTCGGAGGACTGTGCAGATGGAAAGAAAGGGAAGAAAGCTGAAATAGGGAAGAGGGAAGATAGGGGACAAGTAAACGCCTTTGGGATCCACTGAAAATAGATTAAAGGGGAAAGGAGGAGTGACAGCTAAGGGAAATGTCAGAAAGGGCTATGGCTGATGTGGCCTGAAGTGAGAAAAGCAGGGTGGCAGAGATAAGGGCCAACAAAATAGTCTGACTCACACGAGTTTGCGGTCTCCCTAGAGGAAGTTGAGGGGCCTGAATTGGCCACCCCGGGCATGGTGCAGCCTCTTCGACTCTGGGGAGGAGTTGAGCCCAGGCCCCTGCTGCTGCGGCGGTCTTCACTTGCTCTCACCCACGAGCCAGTGGAGCGGCAGCGGCCTTCGTCGTCGTCGTCTCTAGGACTGCGGCCACGATCCTCCCTTGCTCTCTCCGAGGAGCCCCCGCAGCGGGGACCTTCGTCTTCACTGTCTCTCTCCCAGAAGCCACTGAGTCGGCGGCTGGCGTCTTCACTGACGCTCACCCCGGAGGAATCGCTGGCTGCGTAGCCGCGGTCTTCACTTACTCCCTCCCAAGAACTACTGAGGCTATGGCCGCCATCGACACTCCCCCCGTCCCAAGAGCCTCTCTCCCCGCAGCCACTGGTTCGAGGGCCCCAGACTTCACGGACTCTCTCCCAAGTACCACTGAGGCAGAGACTACGATCTTCTCTGACTGTTCCCCTAGAGTGGCTAGTTTGGTGGCCGCCGTCTGTACTTAAATTCACGTCGCGGTCTCCCCTTACTCTCTCCCAAGAGCTACTGTGACAGTGGCCACTGTCTCCCCTAACTCTCTCCCGAGAGACACTGCGCTGGTGGCCTAGGTCTTCACTGACCCTTCTCGAGTCACTGCGGGAAAAGCCGGCGTCTTCACTTACTCTTCCCGCGGAGATCCTGGAGCAGCGGTCTCCGTCTTCACGTTTTCTTTCCCCGTCGTCGCTGCAACGAAAGTCCTGGTCTTCACTAACTCTTTCCCTTGAGTCGGCGCCGCGATGGCCTTCTCGGCCGTTTATCCTCCACACGCGGTGGCTAGTGCGGCGGCCGCCGTCTTCGTTTGCTACTTCCCGCGAGTCGCTGTGGCGGCGGCCGCCTTCAGCTGGGACCCTTTCCAAGTCGCTTTCCAGCCTCCCGGCTCCCGCCAGCAGGCTGGTGAGGTGAATAAGCCGTCGCCTTGGAAACGAGTAAACTTCCGGCGTGCTGCGGTCATTTCCGGTTCCTCGCGGCTTCACGTCAATTCCGGCTTCCTTTCTTTCACCTTTTTTAAGGCTTTCCCCTCTAGAGCAATTGAGCGCTGGTACGGACTGGTTTTCGGTGAATTCTGCTCGGCCTCACACGAGCCTATCAAGGCCCGTCTCTGGAATAGCCTGTCATCGATCGCGCCCTCCATCGCTCAGCGACCCAAGTGGAGGCCTCAGGACTGCAGTCTGCGTACGTGACCTGTGTGGCGCGGGCCGGGCGGGGCGTTTTCGTCCTTGAGCAAACCTAGTATACTTTTTCAGTACTGGTTGGAAGAAAATCTGCTGCTACCCTATCATTTCACAAGGGTGATTAAAAAAAAAAAAAAACTAAAGGAGAAGTTAGCAGCTGCAGCCGCTGCCAGTGAGTACTAGTGTCAGGCTCTTTGATAATCGTTTGTTAGGTGTTTATCCTTATTTTTTAGGCTCGAGATATTAATAAGGCCAGATAGCAGGTAAGTTGTAAAGCCAGTATCAAAGCACAGGCCATTAGTCAAAAGACTGTTCCTGACTCCAAATTCAAGGTTCCTTTCACTGTAACATGTATACTTTAAGCAGTTTGGCCCAAATCTTTCTCTTCAACCCTATTGCTTAACAATAGGAATGAATTCTTCCATTTACTATTTGTTGCAAACATGAGTCAGATTTTGTACTAGCAGCTGAGAATACGCCCTCCAAGGGCGTCAGCCACTTTGATTCCCCTCTCAGTCCGTTTTTTTCATCCATATTGCCTTGCCACACTTTATCTTCTCTATTCAGAAATAATGAACTGCGGTTCTGGAAACATACCATACTTTTTCATATTTCTGCCTTTGTGCGTGCTGTTCCTTTTATCAGGAAGCTACCCTGCCCTCCTATTTTTTTTCTGTGAACATGTTTGGGAAATTCTCCTGACCCTACCTCTCCTCTCTTGAGGTATAGTAAATTGCCTTTAACTTCCATAGTCTTCTATAATATTAATAACCACCATTTTGTTAAGTTCATAAGTCTGGCACTGCACTAGGTACTTTGTATTAGTTTTCTTACTCAATTCTTATTATAACCTCCAGAATAAGTTTTACTTTTCCTTTTTACAGATAGTGAAATGAGGCACAAAAAAGTTAATTGCCTGAGGCTACACAGCTGGTAAGTAGTAAATACCCAAGTAGGATTCCAACCTAGGTCATTGATTTTGCTGCACATGTTCCTCAAAGTCTCTGAATTTCCGCAGCCTTTATTAGATCATTTATCATATTGTATTGTAATTATCTATTTAACAATCTTTCCTCACCCCCACCTCCCAAGGACTCTGAGCTTCTGGAAGGTATGGACTGTATCTTATTCATCTTGGGATTCCTAACATCTCGAATATTTAGTTTAAGGGAGGGGCTTAGTAACTGTTGTATGAGTGAGTGGGTAGATTGATCAGTTGACTGTCAAGTGGATGAACAGACAGGCTGAAAATAAAGTTTTTCACATTAGAAGGGAATTTGAGATTAGTCATCCCAATCCCCTGATTTTTAGATATAGGACAACTGAGGCCTTTTGCCTACCAGACATTTATTGAGTTACTAATGTGGACCAGTTTCTATGCTAAGTGATTTTCAAATAGTTTCAAACTTAATCTTTATTGTTATTTTTATTTTTACAGATGAAGAAACAGCTCAGATTTGACCAAGATTACATAAATAGGAGTTGAGGAATTGGAACCTACTATGACTGACTCCAAGTTAATGCAGTGTTTGTAGTCACTTATATAATGGTAAAGGGCTTATTTTTTGCTCTGCAATGTGAAGTGGATAAACTCAGGGACTGAGGCAGCACATTACAAATCCTTAAAGTATACACACCTGGCAGGAAGGATCAGAAAAGGAAACAGAAACAGGTAGCAGAGAAGCAGAAAAAGTAAAATCTCCAAAAATAAAACAAAAGAAATTAAAGATGAAAGCAGAAATTCATGAAATAGAAAATAAAATTGATCATAGTAATAGCTGGTGTTGGAAAAGAACAATAAATAGACACTCTTAGCAAATCTGAGGAAGAAAAGGGGAGAAAACAGTGGAAACAAAGGGAACATTTCAGATACGAAGGAGACTTTGAAAATCAGAAGTGAATTATTTTGTGTAACTTTATACAGGTTGAGTATCCCTTTTCCGAAATGCTTGGGACCAGAAGTGCTTCAGGTTTCAGATTTTTTGGGATTTTGGAATATTTGCATATACATAATGAGATATCTTGGGGACGGGACCCAAGTCTAAACACGAAATTCATTTGTTTTATATACACCTTATATGTATAGCCTAAAGGTCATTTTATATAATATTTTAAGTTATTTTGTGCATGAAACAAAGTTTTGTTAAGTACTTATATGTGGAATTTTTTACTTGTGGCATCATGTCAACACTCAAAAAGTTTCGGATTTTGGAGCATTTAGGATTTTCAGATTTATGATGATCAACCTTTACTAATAATCTTGAAAATTGACTTGGAAAATACAAATTTCAAAAAACTGGCTCAAGAGTTAGAACTCAATAAACTGATAATTATAAAAGAATGTCCTGGCCCGGTGTGGTGGTTCACACCTGTAATCCTAGCACTCTGGGAGGCCAAGGCAGGAGAATTACTTAGGCCAGCAGTTCGAGACCAACCTGAGCAAGAGCATCCGAGACCCTGTCTCTGCAAAAAATAGAAAAATTAGCCAGGCATGGTGGCACACACCTGTAGTCCCAGCTACTCGGGAGGCTGAAGTAGGAGGATCGCTTGAGCCCAAGAGTTTGAGCTATGATAATGCCACTGCACCCTAGCCCCAATGACAGAGCAAGACTTTGTCTCAAAAACAAAAAAAAAAGTCTGAACAAAGGTAGTCTGTCCTCTACAAATGTCACCAGGAACAAAGTATAGAGAAAGATGGGAGTGTTTCCCAACTATGAAGCTAGTATAACCCTAACAACCCTAACCCTGTCAAAATACTTATTACCCATGAATCAACTATCTGGTTGTAAAGTCTTCAAAATGACTTGCTCAGATATATGTACTATGGTGGTCATCATAGCACTTTGTAATTATAAATAATTAGAAATTTGAATATCAATAAAAGAATGGCTATGCTACATTTATAATACAAAATGTTACACAGTGGTAGGAATGTAGATCTACATGCATTAATCAACATGGAAAGAGTTGTAAGATATAGGCAATGAAAAAGGTGCAAAACAATATGTGATCCCATTTAATTTTGAAAATTACTTTGTAATATTTCTTTTTAAGTTTGGAAAGAATCTATACTAAAGTATTAACTCAGTGGTTCTTGCTTTATAGAGCAAGAAAGAGAGGGTATAAAAGGAGACTTTATTTTTTATACTTGTAGTATATGGTTTAAAAAATGTTGTGATCCTTCCTAAGTAAAAATATAGAAGCACAGAAAAACTTGTACTGTCACATAAAACAAAAGAAGACAGTTTTAAGGGAGAATATTGTAGTACAGGAGAGATTAAGAGGCTAAGAAAGAAAAGTTAACTGGTTTGGCAAGGAGTCATTGATAATACTTAGGAGAGCAGTTTTAATAAAATAGTCAAGGTACGAAAAACAGATTGCACAGGATTTCAAGGTAAGTGACTGACTATGAAGGAAGTTTCTCAGCTGAAACAAGGTTGAGAACACGCTGGAATGGGCATTTCTGCATTCCAGAAAATCAGATCCCTTTATGAGTAGGCGACTATGGTTCCAATTACTGGAAATGGCTAGTTCTCCACTCCTAAAGTGGAATGATAAAGTAGGCTGTCCCCCGTAAGTTAGCTCTTTGCATTAATTTCAGAGGAGGGAGCAGGGTGCTCCAGGCAAAAACAGTTAAGTGGATTTTGGTAACCATTCTCTACTTCTTTCTGCTCATGTGCCGTCTTCACTTGCTTCCCAGGCATTCTTGCTCTCCCTTTGGTGCCCACCCCCAAATCCTCACTGGGTTATCCCATGGGTACCTTCTGGCTCTTACTTAGCTTACTCTTCCCCACCTACTCAACAAAGTGCCCATTATCTCTCTGAGCAGACCCCATTTAGGATTAGGAGAACACTTCCCACTTCAACTGAAGTTCAGACCTTTAACAGTAGCCTCCTGATTTTCCATTTCTACCCCCACAGTTACATCTTTCCACTTGCAGAGATGGTTAGATACTTCCTAGATTTTCCCGAATATTTTGTATAAACCTCTATTAGGGTACTTACTTGGCACTAAATAGTATGTAAGGCCAGCCATACAGAAAAACATAACTAGAATGTAGAATTCTCTACTTTAGGCTAAACTATTAACATGAGAGTTTTAAAAAATGTTATATATAATTAAGTCCTATTTTTCTTCCCAAAGCTTCTTATATTTTTAGCTAAATTACAATGAGATTGCTTTATTTTTTCCAAAACATCAAAGTTGGCAGTTTTAAGTAGGAAAATTATGTTTAAACCAGGAGGGTATAAACTTAATGAAATCTGAGCTGGGCATGGTGGCATGTGCCTGTAGTCTGAGCTACTCAGGAGGCTGAGGGAGAAGGATGGCTTAAGCCCAGGAGTTCAAGACCAACTTAGGCAACATAGCAAGATCCTGTCTCAAAAAAGAACTTGATAGACTTAATGAAATCTCTGGATTTTAGGAAACACAGAATATTCCTTTCCTCTGTTATCACAAACTTCAACTCTTAATTTAAAAGACAATGTTCCATCTTCTGTGGAGCTTCCTTTAGCTTTCCTTGCTGCACTTTACAGTGTTAGATTACTAGCTCTAGCTCCCAGTGCTATGTGTTGACTATTACTTTTCCATCTTTTGAGGCTCAAAGCTAAAGTTGATTTTTAGATTAATTACCAGATCTGGCTGTTCATTAGAATCAACTGGAGCTTCTTAAAATTAGAGGTGCCCTAGGTGAGAATCAACTACATGAGATGCCCCCCAGAGATTGAGAATGTCTTAACTTTCACCATAAAGTGATTCTGATGCAAATTTGGGACAGATAGATCTAAGTCACTACTCCACCTCTGGCCTCCTTCCTCAAAGAGAAAATAAGAATTGAACTCTCAATTCCAACTATAAACACCACTGACCATCTTCGAGAAAGCTAATCCCTCCTGTGCCACTGATACTGTCTCATTCCAGCTCTGAAACTGATGTTATCAATCATCTCTGTCTTCACCCTCTCTCTCCACAGAGCTCCTTACATATATACATGCTGATGTCTATTTGTCTCATTCTAATTACGGTTTTATCTCTACAGTTAAATTTCATAAAACAGCTCTTAATATTTTGTTACCTCTCATACACACTACCCACTGCACCAGGCATTGGCATCCATACTAAGCTGTTGTTAGGTCAACAGGGAGTATTTCTCAATCATGCCATATTTCCTTGACTTTTTTATTTGCTGACTACCCATCCCTTGAAATTTTTTTCCCCATTGCTGATTTTCCTATTTTCTTTATCACCTTTCTTTAGCACATCTATCTCACCTTCCCAGCCACAGGTCTTTGTCTATTCCCCAGAGACCCATCCTTGGCCCTCTTTACTATGTGGATACTGTCGGTATACTTGTAGGTTTGAATGTCGCCTTCCTTTTGAACATTCCATACCTTTAAGCAGCAGTCCCCAACCTTTTTGGCACCAGGGACCAGTTTCATGGAAGACGATTTTTCCATGGACCGGGGGTGGGAGTGGAGCTCAGGCAGTGATGTGAGCAATGGGGAACAGCTATAAATACAGATGAAGCTTCCTTCTGCAGCTCACTACTGCTGTCATCCAGTTCCTAAGTTTCACAGATGACCATTTTTCCATGGGTTGGGGGAGGTCAGGAAAGGCGGAGCTCTGGTGGTGATGCACAACATGGTTTCTAACAGGCCACAGACCAGTACCAGGCCTCAGCCAGGGGTTGGGACCGCAGCCTTTAAGCATTTGATAAAAGCTACAGGTGGTCTTCCCAGAAAAACATACAACAGGAAGTTCTGCCTGCGTTTTTGGATTCAAAGACCTCCGCAGTTCGTCCATGGCAGTGTTCATGTATATTCAGTAAGTTCAGCTATTGCATATGTGTTTTTAACTCAAATCTAATGGACACCAGTTTTCTTACTGGACCTCTCTGCAGCATATGATGATCTCTTAAACATTTTATTCACCTGGTTCTTAAAAAAAAAAACAAACACTTACATGCAGATAAGATTTCACTTATGTTTAAAATTTCTAGTGGCTGCCCTGGTCATCAGTGTTGTAACAAACTCTTTAGCATGACCCAGAAGGCTCTTCATAATCTATTCAAAATTACCAAGTATTAGCCATATAAAAACAAATTTTTGAAAACTCTTGAAGTGTTTCAAGCCTTGACATTTGCTCTTCATTCTCCAAAGATACCCTTCCCATCAATATGGACTCCACTCCTAGTTATCCTCCAGTACTCAAATATTATCTCTGAAAAGTCTTCCTAAACCCACCTTAAGGTAGTTGGGTGTGCCTATTTCTATCCTAGCATTAATTATGGGGTATCTTTTTTAAATAATGCAGAAATAGTGTGGAATAAAATGAGACAAAGCCAGGTTTATATTCTTATACAACTTTTTGAGTGAGTGGCTTAATTTCAACTATAAACTGGGGACACAATCTACCAGCATAAGATGTGAGTATCAGAGCAAATATATGTAGAAAGTCTGCTAGTGCCTACCACATAGGAAGTGCTCAATAAAACTCAAGTGTTTTATATGCCCATCTCCAATAAATGGCAGAAAAGATTACTCTCTCTCGGAATACCTGGCTCATAGCAGGAGCCACGTTCATGTTTTAAAGAACAGAGAGATGAAAGAAAGATGTTAAGAAAAGTCACATTCTAAAGCCATTCAAGAAATAAAGGAATACAAACAGTTTCTTCATCATTCTATTTATTACATGTATGAATATTAACATCTCATGGTATCCATCTAATTCAGTCAAAACCAACAAAGGAAAAAGGTTAACCATGTTTCAAATAAACATTCTTACAGATTCCCCTGTAACTTAAAATAGAAATATGTTCACCTGCATTAAATCATTTGACAATTTGAAAAATGTCTTTTAAAAAAAAAATCACCTTTAGTACTTAAATATATCTGTTAATTGTTTGATGGCATCAGTGTCCATGTTCAAGAATAAAAGTTGCTTCATTAGATACTTTGCAAAAATGAACATCTGGATGGTTCTCTATAGCTGAATATATATATATATATATATGCAAATATGTCGTATTTTGTTTTTTAAAAAATTTTCAAATCTGGCTTTTCTATTTGAGAAAAGTCCTGCAGTGCTCTCACAACCCCCTTTTGAAGGATAAAACTAACTTCAGACTTTGCTTCTTTAATCATGGGAAGCTACTAGAAAAAAAAATCTTATGTTGAGGTTGCTGTTCAATTCCATTTTTACGCAATAAAAAGTACAGAAACACTGTCTTTATTTGATGGTGTGCATAAATATTACACTCCATGAATAGCAAAAATATTTTTTATTTATAATTTACAGTTTCACAAGTGAAAATCGTACATTTTTACACATACAATTTCATTTTGTTAAATTTGCACACATCTACAGAACTTTCACACAACAAGCACCTGAAACTGTGCAGGCAGTAGGAAATGCAAATACTAAAATGTATTTATTAACCAAATGATAGCTGAAGGCCCTGCCTCAGCTAGACAATTTATATAGATATGTCTATATATACATAAAAAAATTATTCACCTTCTACATCCGACAGCAGCTTTTTTAAAAAAAGAAAAACATACCTTTCTCATTTTATTTAGACTGACTCAACTGTATCATTTTCTGTTTTAATTTCAGTGGGTGTTGCTATGCTTTCCTCTGTACAAGCTGGTGGAGTATCAATCCGTTCTTCCTTAACTTTGGGACTTTCACAAGGTTCCTGCAATTCGTTTTTGACAATGTTCAACATAATGTTCAAGGGGTTTTCAACTGGTGTCTTGCTGGGAGATGGTGTACAATCAAATGAAGATGTCTATAAAATGAAAAAGACCTATAAATACTGATGAAAAGTTCAAAATTATCACATTAAATGACATCTAGTCATTATAAGATCTTTGTATGGACAAAGGAACATACACATACATACCAAATGCAAGTAAAATACCTGCTTCCCTACAAAACATGCCATAAAGGCAATCAAATAATTCATCATGTACTTAGCAATGAGCTAACAGCTAAGCTGTGACGTGATTCTACAGTTAATCCCCACATAGATGGTAACCCCTACCTAGTATTTTTTGTTACTATCTTAATTTCAAATATTCTGAGGATTTTTTAAGTCCCCACAAACCATCAAGCCATCCTAGTGAACTGTAGTCTTTTTTGATGACCTGAATATATCTTTCAAACTGCCTCTGGAACTCACTGTTAAAGTCAATTTGTCCCATTATTTGGTTTAAAAAGTGGTCATGTTACAAATACAACGATTTGAACTTTTAAGGCCAAGAGACTGGTTTCTTTTTTAGATTTCACATGTGATCATTTAAAAATTATACCTATATTAAATGGCTGAATGTAAGAAAAATATAGCAGTAAATGCTACCCATAGCTCTAGAAACCTATTCCCATCATTATCCTTCTCATCTTCAGTTTTCCTCACATTTTTCTGGGCCTAGTGGTCTAGTAAAAAACATCACAAGATTCAAGTGAATAAAATGAAAGGAATGATACAGAAATTTCCAAGTTTAAATTGTTTGCATGTCACAGAAAATGATATATTGATGTATATTGATATATTGATTGATAGGACTTGTCCTATCAATCTAGCACCAATATTTAGTGAACAACCTAAATGCTATATTGATACATAAAAACAGCTCAATATATTAACAAGATTAAGATAACAATATTGCTCTGATGCAAAAAATAACTGACAGGTAAAATTTATTAATATAAATGAGAACAAATAAAGTAACGAAAAAGAACTTACATTTTGATAATCTTCATAACATGATGGATGATAAATCTGAAGCAAAAAGGAAAAAAAGTAAATACATGCATATTCATTTCTAATGGGCTATTCTGGTATGATTTTTCTTTTAAAATTTAAATCAGAAGATAGCTGTCTTTGGAAAGGTGACAAAAATCGGTCACAAAAATGAATAAAACCAAAATTTTCATCCTTACACTTAAAAGAATCTGAAAAATTCATTTCTCTTTAAACTTGCTTGGCATAACATTGTTTGTTTCCAAGACAGTACACTTTTGATGATAAAATATAAATTTAGAATCAAAACAGTGTGGTTAGGCAGAACAACAGCTAACTACATTCAGAAGACCTAGTTCTGGGTCTATCATTAACTAATTATGTATATATATAAAATATATATAAAATAAGTATATATATAAAATATATACATATTTTATTAAAATAAGTATAGAACCAGATGGTTGTGAAGATCCCTTCCAACTCAAACATTCTATGACTCTAAAGTCCAATACTTTTTCATTGAAACCAAAAAACAAGAACCTCTTTCTTTCAAAGTAATGAGCTACCCCAACAAAAATATACTAATCTTAACACTTCCTTATAAAAACTGAAAATTACCTTTCCATCTACTCTAATAGCATTTTTTAAATGCCATTCCTCCTCTTCTTCATCCCAGTATTGTTCAAATTGTTCTTGACAGATTTCACAACTCTAAAATAGAATCGTATAAAGTGAAATTTATACAATAGAACACATTTAAACTCATTTAGTAAAAATATATAACCATTAAGTGGAGAAAGGAATTTAAGAATGTCAATGCCCAATATATAATACAGATACAAAATAAGTTTTAAGGATTCTGTCAATCTTCCAGGTAAAAACAGTAAACATACCACTGCTGTTGGTCACTGATACTATCTACAGCAGTTATGAAACTTAAAGCCAGATGTTAAGAGTAAAATTGAAGAGTACAGCTTATAAGAAATCTTATAATCATTAAAAAAGAGATATAAAGTGATATGTTTATCACTCTAGGAGTGTTTCTCACTTAAAGGAAGTGAAGGACACTCCCAGAGAAAGAAAATTTAAACATTCTTCTACCTCAACTGCTCCAGCTGGTCCAGCAGGTACACTTTGGAACTCCTTTTCCTTAGCAGCCTCCTGAGTTTTGAGCACAACTTCTTCATGCACCTTTTCAAAAAACTGGCTCTTTGCACGTTCTTCCAGATCAGCTATCTCCTCAAATTCTATCCAGTCCTTTAAAGGAGTTGATTTAAATATATTATTTCCATTTATTTCTAAACTTTTACTGCATATCTTCAATATAATGCCATTGAAAAGTAACGGTACATTCTGCTATAATATACTGTAATATTGATTATTGAAAATTATACCTTCTCTTTGGGCCCCATAACCAATAGACAACATATAGCAACTAATGAACAAGTAAGATCTTAATGTTAATTTTCCTTTACCTCATTACAACTACTAATTTAAACAAGATAAACTGCAAATACAACTTTTTACAAAAAAATTCAGTCACAGAACCTTAGAGTTTTAGAGCTAGAACAAGCTTGTATACTACCCTGATCTCAACTAAAAATAATTATTCTTCCAAATTCCTTTTTTAAAAAACCTATTTATTTTCCAGAGGTCAAATTTTATTCAGAAAATTTACGTGTTAGCTTTCAGCAATTATTTAAACTAATATACTTTCAGAATGATATAATTTAAGCCTAAAAGACAGTTCAGAGGCAAATGGATTACTTACTGTTAAACTGTAGTACCACCGTCTATGAGTGACTTTTCTGCTAACATCTTTTTCTGTTCTATTTTGCCGATAATGCCAGTCCAAGTGATCTGCATATACATCTGTCTGTGATGTTGTAAACCTCATTCCACAAGAGTAACACTGAATACCAGTGTACAGTCGATTTATAACACTATCATAACGTCTAGTTTGAAAAAGAAATAATCTTTAGTGTTGATAACATGGCTTAATGGCCTTTGAAAAAACAGTTAAAAATATTTCAGTTTTCCATATTTTATGAAACCAAGAGCTGGCTGAAATAGTTAATACCCAAAGATCAATATTAATAGTATGTCACTGATCCTCTTTACCTTAATTTTTGTGACTTTTTCAACTTGGAGCCTGTCTTCTTATTGATAGGCTTGACCCACTTACTTATTTCCTTTTAGCTAAAAATGGAGTGATCCTATGCTAGCTAACAAGGCAACAGTTCACCTAGTCTTAGCTTGGAGTCAATATTAAAGTGGACATGCCTTTCACTTTTCTAGATCTTTGGAGTTTCGAATAATTCAACTCCTCTATTTTGGTCTAAAGAACAGTAAAAAAAAAAAAAAAGTACAGAAGACAAAATAATAATAACATGGGTAACTAAAAACAAAAATTAGAAGACCACTGAGAAACTGTGGTCAGCAATAATCAGTTTCTTAAAATTCTGGGCTCCCAATTTGGGAAGAAAGAGGTATACAGACCAAATAAGTAAATAAAGAGCAGTTATTAATGCCAAGGAAAAAAATATATAGAATAAAGCAAAGTATAGAACACTGATACTTTGTATTAAAGCAAACAAAATAAATATTTAGTCACATATTAATACTAAATGATTTAATGAAAACTAGTTTTATAACTACATGAAGTTGGTAGAACAGTAAAAGAGCTAAACTGTCACTTTCAGAAAGTCAAAAGATTTTATCTAGATGTGATAAATCAAGAAACAGAAAAATATGCATATTTTAAGAAATAAAGAGATAAATGTCAGAAAAATATGAAGAGTTTTTTTAAAAACAGTTGTCTCTGGGGACAGAGTTGGGTGAAGACAAGTAGCAAGAAAAAGGGATGCCATCCTTTATTATAAGCCTTTAACTATGTGAAAGTATTACTTTGAAAAAAATACTGATTTTTAAAAGAATGAAGCCCATTAGCTATTTTTTTTATAAAGTACTCAGAAGGACATAATGAATACATATACTGGAAAACTGGTTTAAATATTTTTTTACGTAAGTAATATAGGCAATACAGGCTGCGCGCAGTGCCTCATGCCTGTAATCCTAGCACTCTGGGAGGCTGACATGGGAAGATCACTTCAGGCCAGCAATTCGAGACCAGCCTGAGCACGAGTGAGACCCTGTCTCTACCAAAAACAGAAAAATGAGCGGGGTGTGGTGGCGCACACCTGTAGTCTCAGCTACTCAGGAGGCTGAGGCGGGAGGATCACGCGCCCAGGAGTTTGAGGTTGCAGTGAGCTATGACGACACCACTGCACTCTAGCCCAAGCAACAGAGCAAGACCTTGTCTCAAAAAGCAAACAAAAAAAAATTATTTATATAGGCAATAGAAAAGTATGAAAAGATACACACCAAATGTTAACATTGTTATCCGTAAAGTGAGAACTATAGGTAATTTTATTTTCTTGATTTTATTTCTAATTTTCCACAATGAACATACATTACTCATAAAATGAAAATAGATTTGAAAAACTTTTTTTAAATGGTGGACTATAAAAGTCTCATTTCTGAACATACAAAATGTAAGAACATCAATATAGAAAAATGATAGGCCGGGCGCGGTGGCTCATGCCTATAATCCTAGCACTCTGGGAGGCCAAGGCGGGCAGACTGTTTGAGCTCAGGAATTCGAAACCAGCCTGAGCAAGAGAGAGACGCCGTCTCTACTAAAAATAGAAAAATTAGCCAGGCATGGTGGCGCATGCCTGTGGTCCCAGCTACTCGGGAGGCTGAGGCAGAAGGATTGCTTGAGCCCAGGAGTGTGAGGTTGCTGTGAGCTAGGCTGACGCCACGGCACTCACTCTAGCCAGGGCAACAGAGTGAGACTCTGTCTCAAAAAAAAAAGAAAAATGATAAAGAGAAAATGAAGATAAAAAGGAACACACGAATAAATTATCAATACCTAGTACTTCAATTTCCTATAGTTTCTGTACCAAACACATAAATAAATAATGAAAATTATAAAATAAAAAATGAAAATTTTGGGGTGGCCTTTTTGCTAAGTACTTGTGCATTAGAAGATTTTAAAAGGAAATTTAAAAATAGCCTTCCTAAAGATATTATGTATATTTTATCACATTAAAAAAAAGGCTTCCTAAATTTTAGAACAGTAAAAGGATAAAATGAAATAGCACTAATAGTAATAATTTCCACTGTTATTAAAATTAGATTACATACTGTTTCAATTCTTCAATCGTAAAATTAGTAAGATCTGGAACATCTTGATCTTCATTTTGATCTTCCTCCTCTTCAGGGGGAGGCTGAGCAGCAACTTCATTTACTTCTTCAATTGAAAGGAGACATACAAATTTCTCAATATCATTCTCCATGTATTCTTTACAGAGGAACACTATAGTGTTATAAGCATATAGAGAAATCTACCTAGTCTATTTAGTGCTCCTGATCTGAAGTTTATTGGCTAAGGAATCTAATAAAATTCTTTGATATGTGATGTTAAGTCTGATCTCTTAAAAGTGAATCTTCATGAAATTTTATTTTATTAATTTTCAAATGATTTCCCAAAGTTAAATTAACGTAAATAATAAAGTCTGTACATGATATTTGCAGCAATGTTTGTTAACGGAAACAAATGCCCACTGTAAGGGTAATAGTTCAATCTTAGAAAATTTAAAACAATTTCATTATAAAAAATTGTATTTGATTTTCAAAAATCAAGAATAAAGGTATATGTAAGAATTCAATTATTCTAAGTAAGGACCTTTATCATAACTTGTATCATTATATTACATCATACATCTCTAAAATTCAGTGAAGCTTTGTATAAATATAAAACCATACTTACGTGTTGTTGCTGAATCAGGCTGGGACAATTTGAGAATTCCTGTTTTTAACAGTTTTGAAAACAACTCATTTACATCCACCTGACTGAGATGATTATCAGGATATGCCTTAGGAATGGCTCCTTTAAAGAAAATAACATTCTTAAAAATAAAAGTACAACTTAAAGATGGAAATTATACTGAGCATTTTTCAAAGTTTTCTTTAAGATATGTCCTACCAATGGTAAATTTAACAAAATCTTATTAATGATCGGTTTAATTATTTCAAAAGCTCCTAAAATTAACTCTTACTTTAGGTCAACAATCATTACCACTTGAAAATATATTCTAGGACAAATGTTGAAAACTAACCTGAAAACAGTGATATTTTATGTAACTCAGAGTACACCTGCCCCTATGATCTTTTCTGAATCATATACCACCCTTGCAAAGCAGCTCAGGCTATTGCTGAACAGGTGTCAGGCTTACTAAAACTTCAATAACTTGAATCAGACAAGCATAACAATCTTGTTATGCTAGGTGAGGAATCATTGCAATCCCATATTTTGCTAAGCACTCTTCTAATAATTGTGAGTCTTTAACTCAACTATAAAAACAATATTTTAATGCATTTATATGTCACTATGATGCATCTCACTACACTTCCAGAACAAAGTTCTGAAATCACTAAAAATACCTCTTGAGGCAGAAATTCAATTTATACCCACAATACACATAATCCTTAACCTTAACCATGGTATACTTATCACAGTGCCTACTATATACAGTAGGCTAATTAATGTTTATTCACATTAAATGAATGCTTGAATGAATAAATCAACCTCTATAGTTAACCAATTACAACAGCATTTCACACACTAATTTAACATTTATATTGCATTAGAATTTGCTATTTATATGTCTAAGAGGCATAAGTAGCTATTCATATGTCTCAGGGCAGTCAAGTTTAGTGATCAAGAGCATGAACTGTGGAACAAGACAACTGGGATGCTAGCTAGAAATTCCACTTTCTAGTTTTATGACATGATGAAGTTACTTATCTGTGCCTCAGCTTCCTGTGCCTGTAAAAGGATAATAATATTTCCCACCTAAAGTTGTTATGAGGATGAATTAATATTTGTAAGGCACTGAGGTGTTTGGCATTTTATACAGTGTTTGTTAAACCAAAAACAATAAAATAAAAATCAATAGATGTGCTACACCATAAAGCTCTTTGAAGGATGTACCTTATTAAATTCATCCTAGCACAATGCCTAGCATACAGTAGTAAATGATCAACATATGCCTGAATGAAAAAATGAACATGAGTATATTTATTACTGGAAAAGAGACATTTTCACTTTCAAATTAAAGAAAGAACCTTGAAAGAAGCTAAATATAGCACACTGAATAATGTTCACACCTCTTGTAAGGAGAACTTCAACCCAAGGGACTAAGGAATAAGATGTGATTTCTTCTGTGACACTACTATGCCCTGTGTATATACACATGTAACCCAAGGTTGTAAAAGCAAAAAGAAAATTTATAGTTTTTGCACCCTATCTCACACCACTAACCTGAATACAACAAATCCTCTACTCAACAATATAAACTGAGTTCTAAAGGAAAATATATTTATATAGAACTTTACATGTTACGAAGTACTTTTGCATAAACTATCTCATTTGATTCTCTTAAAACAAACAAAAATCCCTGGCTAATAGTGATAGTACCATATCCTGTTTACAAAGGAAAAAACTGAATCGCAGGGAGGATACTTGCTTAAACCACGCCCACCTATAAAGCGGCAGCACAGAGATTCTAACCCTGGTCGTCTGGACTTTAGATCCCAAATTCTTTCCTCCCTTTTTCATTATAGTGACAACAAAAAAACCTAACAAACACAAATTGATCCTAATTGTCCATCTAGAAATTAAAAATAAAAAGCTTTCAAATTAATTGAATAAATTTCTTGAGATGACACAATTTAAGAACTAATCATAAAGGAGAGTTTGGTTAGGAATTTCCTAATTACTTCATAAATTTTTGAAAACTCCCTAAATCTGTAAACTGAATAACTCAATGTTACATTAAAGCATATTTCTGAAAATGACTTTTTTAATGATTTATAAATTTAAGCAAGTATCACTACTATTTGGTTAGGCTAGTTCTCAATATATTAACTTCACAGTTATATAACAAATCACCATAATTTATATACTTTCCATTTACCACATATTAAAACTAAAATTCATTTTTAAAGCTCTTACATCCAGTATTAGTTATGTCTCACCCCATAGTAACAAAGATGCTTATTGGGTGACCTGGAGAGGAAATCAGTTTTTTTCTATTTGAGTGACCATAAAAACACATAAAAGAATCAACTTTATAAGGTGATATTCCCCAGTATTCACTTAATAAATGTTTACTGGATCATAACACACATACAAAACAAAAACTCAAAATATGAAATAATCAACATGTCTGAGGTTTGTCATTTATTTCATTCTATAGCAACACAAATGTCACACCCCCATCCCACATCCTAGCTTCCACCTAGTAGGTTCCCTTCCCTCTTTTTTAAGGTCTACAAGTCCTGGCTAACCATCTCTAGCAGTAAACAGGGCCAGTCTAAGTACATACCAACAACGTAAACAAACTTAGAAAAGGGACAAAAACATTTTAGCCAGATTAAATTTCTCTAAATTAATTATGTCCTCTCAGAATTGTCATTTTATAAAATTGACAAAGTTAGGTATTCAACAGAACAATAATTGTCTTTTGAAAAACAAAGTTTAGAAAATACATACCTGAAGGATTCTGAACAAATGCTCCAGGATTTTGTGGATGAACTGGTAAAAATTGTTGTCCTTGGCCAAAAGCCACTGGCTGACCAACACCAGTCAGAACCTTTAAGATAAACCTTGATTTTAAGAACATCCTTTCCATGTTTTAAGTAAAACTTTAACACTCTAATCACATAAAAATATTCACAGGTATCACAAGGCCTGGCTGATACAATAATAAAGATTTAGAAAGGTAACTTGGCTGGGTCAGTTCACTTCTAGGTCTTCTACAAACAAGAACAATAATACCTTCCCTTATCTGTTTCACAGAGTTATAAGGAACTGAGAATGGGTTGACATTTCTTTGAAAAGTTTAAGATACCATGCAAACATAAGGTAGCCACCAACTAGCTGTGTGACCTTATACAAGTCACTTGACCTTGCTGGTGCTTTCTCTTATGTTACAAATAGAAGAACGGACATCCAGTGATGTGACTTGTACACAATCATAGGGGATAATTAGCAACAAAACTAAGGCCAGAACTCTTGACCCTTGACCTCTTTCCACAGATATCAAAATTATTGCTTTAATTAGCAATCTTAACTCACGGTGATCATTATGCTTGGCCATCATCTTTGGATACAGTTACGGCTAAATTGCAAAGTAGATTGTAAAAGATATCAAAGGGAATGTTAAAAAATAAAAGTCATGAAGCAAGAACTGTTCTGGCATACAAATAGCAGTATTTGTAGTCCAGAGAGAGGCAGGACTTCTACAAGTTGCTGCTAGGTAAATATGCATTTATAAGCCTTGTTCAGTGTCCATGTGAATTTTCAGTGGTGTGTATAGGTAACAAAAACCCCACCAATTCTGTATAATGTAGGAACAAGTCTAAGTAAGTCAAGTCCCATTCTAGAGTATCTGTCAATAATAGTATCATTTTTTTCAAGGTCATACAATAGAGTAAATCTAACTAGGCAGGCCAACTTTTTTTCCAAACCATTGGATATGAACAGAAGACTACTTTCTATCAATAATGTACTTTAAAAATCTCTTATTTTATACTGTCTTCCATGCAATCTTACTACTATAAATTTGTCCTGGTAAGAAAGTGTCAATATTTGGAAAATGAAGTAAACTTAGCCCAGGAGAATTCCAGCAGGCATGCTAAAGTCGTCATTCAAAATGAACTGAATTAATCACAAACTGTAAAAACATTGCTTTAAAGTTATTTCAATACGCATTTTAAAATGTATGCAGAACAAGTTCAAAAGAATACCAATAGGTATCTATACATGTTTAGGTAACTAGAATGTATTTGGAAGGCAAGTAGCAAGTTTTCCGTGTTGACATTAATATCAAACACCTGTGTTTGGAGTGACTAGAAAGGGTAAAAAGTAGGAAGAGAGGACGAAAAAGAGAACTGCAGACTGTAAAAGCATGGAGAATTTAATTTCATTTAACTCAGGCTAAGGAAGTTCTTTGTCAAAAAATAGTCTAAACAATCAACTCTGCAGTTACTTTAAAGCATATCAGGGCTCAAATGTAGCAGAGATCCATGAAACACAATTGTACAACTTTACCAGTGTTAAAGCAAAAACGAAAAAACAGGGGTTGAGGAGGATGACTGAGATATTTCTCTGGATCGCAAAAGAGCTAAAACCAGTTTTGGATTTAAATTGCAAATGTAATCCCCAAAAGACTCTCATCCCATTTCCCTAGAAAATGGGGCTTTAGAGTACATTAAAAACTTCTTTACAATATACACAATAAACTAAGTTCTGAAAACCTTCCTCAAACCCTAAAAACATTAAAAAATGGTTACGTTATCTGCATACAACATAAATTTAGAACTACAACAGACTTACCGGTTGAGACGCTTGAATATTTCCTACTGTTATTGGAGCAGGTAAATTGCCAAAGTTTCCAAATTGAGAACTCTGAAGATTTTTTTCATCAAAATAGTGTCCAGAAGCTCGGTTAAGGGGATTTGAAAAACTCTGGCTTCCAGGACCATGTGGTCCATTAAAATTTGGTCCTTGAGGTGAATCAAATATTTGTTCATGTCTTTGGAACTGTAGTCCTTGGGACGGGGCATTAAAAGCATTGCCAGGAGGATCATTATATGGACTAGTCTGATTGAAAGCCACTGATTCAAGCCTTTGTGAAGGATGATTGTCAAATCTTGTGCCTTGAAGACCAAGAGGAATATCAAACCTTGATGCTTGCTGGTGTTGTGGACCATCAAATCTTTGAGGTACACCATCAAATCTTGGTTGAACCTGCTGTCCAGGTGGTCCATCAAACCTCTGTGGGCCTGGCTGACCAGGAGTTCTTTCAAATCTAGGACCTGGCTGACCATGTAATCCATCAAATCTTGGCAAGAGTGATGGCTGACCTGGCTGCCCATCAAACCTTAAAGCATGACAACCTTCAAATCTTGGACCACCCTGACCCAGAGGCCCTTCAATTCTCAGGCCACTTCCTGGTACAGGAGGACCCTCAAACCTCATTCCACCTCCTTGTTGGACTAAAGGTCCTTCAAACCTGATCCCAACCCCTGGTTGACCATGTGGACCCTCAAACCTAAGGTTCCCACCAAGTTGATTATGTTGTCCTTCAAATCTCAGACCAGCTACTGACTGGCCATGGGGGCCCTCAAACCTCATTCCAACTCCTTGCTGTAACAAAGGGCCCTCAAATCTGATCCCTCCTCCTGGCTGACCATGAGGTCCATCAAACCTAATTGCAGCTCCTGATGGACCATGACCTCCCTCAAATCTAAGTCCACCTACAGGCTGACCTCGGGGACTATCAAATCTAAGTCCACCCACAGGCTGACCATGAGGTCCTTCAAATCTTAGACCACCTACAGGTTGACCACGATGTCCCTCAAATCTGAGACCACCCACAGGCTGGCCCCCTGGTCCCTCAAATCTCAAACCACCTGCAGATCCCTCAAACCTAAGACCAGGGGAACCTTCAAACCGAAAACCACCTCCTCCAGCTTGACCAATTGGCCCCTCAAACCGCAGAGGCGTCCCTACTGGTCCTGGAGGACCTTCAAATCTCAAAGGACACCCACCTCCTAGCTGACCTTGTGGTCCGTCAAATCTCAAAGGGCCTCCTCCCCCCATTTGTCCTGGTGACCCATCAAACCGAAGAGAACCTGGTGTGGGAGGTCCATCAATTCTAGGGCTTAATTTATTAGGTCCTTCAAAAATCATCTTGGTTGGGCCATCTCTCGTTACCGATGGCCTAGCGGGTCCATCAAATAATGGTCTGTCTTCAGCCAAAGCCGTAAGTCGCTGATTTGTATCAAGACTGGAAAATCTTGCTCCTGGGCTATCTACAAAAGGTTTATCTGAATCTTCATATCGAGGTCGCTTAAGTGGAAAACGATCATTGAATGGAGATCTCTGCTCTTCTCGTACACCTTTTAAAAAGAAAAAAAAATATTTCCACTAAATCCAAATTTATATCAAATTATTTCAAAATCTTCTTTCTATATTCATACAAATGTTTATCCAAAGATATACAGAACAACCTCACTATATTAGAGGGGCAGGAAAAGACAGACAACATCAAGCAGCAGATAAAACGATATCCTCTAGAGTCAGACAAACCTGGGTTAAAAAAAACCCATCCTGTCAATTTAATAATTGACTTTGAGAGCAAGTTATTTAACCTCTCTAGTTATATTTCCTATCTGTAAAATGGGGATAATATACATTTCACTGGGTTGTTGTGAGGATTAAATCAAGTTACATATAAAAGAACCTAGTGAAGTACCTGACACACAACTAGCCTTAACATATTAGCTCCCTTCCCTTCCATTTCCTTAGACGGAAAAAACATAAAATAAACGGAAAAAAAAAAACAGTAGTCTGAACAGTCATAAAAATCCATCCCCACTTAGCTTGTTCATTTTCCCTTCACTGCTGTGTGATTCAATAGGCATAATCTGATTTAACTTTTTCTACCTTTAGCAGAGACTTGCTCGTCATGTCTTCTCCGGCCCTCATGGGGTGAAAGATTCTCAGCATAAGTACGACTCCCAGATATAGGAGAAAGACGTCTTGCTCTTTCACTAAATTGTTCTTTTCTGTCAAACTGTGCTCCACTATTCCTACTTGCATGTTTACTTTTGGATGGCTCACATTCTATTCCAGACAACAAGGCATCAGTCAAAGGGTAGTCAAAAATATCAGGATCTAAGAGATCAAGTCTTGGAAATGAATGCTGAACCTGTGTCCTTTTCAGTTTTGCTTTATGTTCATAGTAGGTTAATTCAGCATCAGATAAGAGAGGTTTCTTTTTTAATCCACCTTTATTTTCTTCTGTAGGACTATCCCGTACATTGCATCTATGTTTACCTTCTTGATACTGAAATATCTGTCGAATTTGATGCACAACAACAAGGAATTCTTCCTGTGTAATTTCACCAGATGCTAAACGTTCACTCGTCTGCATGGGGTGATAAAAGGAAATTAAACATTTTAAATATAAAAAGTATTTACAAAAAAATTAAAAGAGAATAATGACTACATGGGATTAATCATAGTAACTACCTTTTGAAGTAATTCTCTTTTGCTTGCAAGAGTTAACTCTTTAGGAATCTGAAGATTGGCATCTACACTTAATCGATGCTGCTGCTGCTTGGGGGGTCGAGGTGACAGAATTCCTTTAGTGCTTGACCAGCTCTCCCTATGCCTTAGATGAGGAGATTTACTATGTTCATCACCCTGTTGTAAACTAAAATCACAAAAGCAGTATGTTAATTTAAAATGTTTTTCAAAAAATACTAAGGACCATATTTAAGGAAACTTTTCAAAGGATATGGCTAAAATGAACACATGTAAGCAGAAAAAGTAATTAAATGATTAAGAACACAAGATATGAAACCAGGAAAAACATATGAATTCTGATTCTTGCATGTCCTGGACTGTAGCCTTAGGTAGATTATTTAACCTTTCTAAACTTCAGTTTCCTTATCTGTAAAATAGAAATAATAATGGTATTTAACCTACAGGGTTATAAGAATTAAATGGAAAAAATAAGGTACTAATAGCACCCGATAAACATTTTCCAATTTTTAAATGAACAGTATTTTAAAATGTTATTATTCTATTTTACTAAAAATGTTAACATCATACCTTTTATTTTCTTCCCAACCAGATTTCCATCTTTTGGTAGACTTGGAACTTTGCCAATTTTCTATATTCTCCTTTGGTTCAGTGCCTGACTTTGTAGAATGCTGATTTGCAGTTTCTTGTGGTCGATCCTCTTCAGACTTTTTCATTCGCCTTGGATCTCGAACATCCTGTTTATTACTTCGCTTAGCATTTCTGTCTTCCCTGGAAGGTGGTGTAAACTCTTCCATATGTGACTGCTTAATTCCTGATTGGCGAGTCTTTCCTGCTTTGGGTGTCGAAGTTGGAGACATACTCCTTTGCCTTCTTTTGGGTGACCGCCTATCTCTTCTCTTTGGGGAATGGATAATTGGTGACCGAGACTTGGGTGATCGAGATCTTGATCGCTTTCTAGTACTCGATCTCCCTGGTTTTGTCCCCTGTTTTTCTGATTCTTCTATTATTGTATCCTGTTTTTGTACAATGCCATTTATTATTTTATTTCTACTTCCAACCAGTCTGTGTTCAGATGATTTCATGTGCTCATCTTTATCTTTTTTTTCTGTAGTTTTTCTCTTCTCTTTTACATCATCATCTTTGCCATCAGTCTTATCTTGAAGATGTTTTTTTAATCTTGGATCTCTCTTATTCATATCAGACAACCTCATACTTTCAGATTCTTGATTTTTCAAGTCTTTTGTGTGAGATAATTTGTTTTTCAAAGGTGATGGTGATTTAGATTTAGATTTAGATTTAGAATCTAATTGGTCAAGTTCTTTCTTGGTTATTTTTTCACCTGATTTACTTTTGTCTTGCTTGGATGAATTTAGTTTTTCAGAGGGTACAGTTTTACTTGTCTTAATATCAGATTGGTTCAATGTGTTCATTAGGAATTCTTTCCTGTGACTTTGATCTTTTCCATGAGAATGCTGGCTTATCCTATTAAGACGGGGATCCCGGTTAGTCCCTTTCAAATCCTGAATTTGTAAGGATGGACCTGGACGGGTTTTCTCAGGTTGCACAGGAACCTGATGGGGAGCTTTAACTGCCATAGGGGGAATTTGTGAAACATGTAATTTGGAAGGTGCAGATGCAGGACCTAAGTTGGATGTTTCCTGCTGAACACTAAGAGAAACTGCCTGAAATACAAATAAATTTTTATGTTAATACTGTAAAACATGCAGATTGTTTGTCAAGAAACTGTAAACAACTGAAGAATATAATGCTTGATTCAAAAAATCCATTTACTCAACATGGTATTTACATTGTATATTTCTAATGTATAAACTGAGATTACAACGAAAAGAGGAGAAAAGTCCATATACTTAAGCGGCCCATTATTTCTTACTAGTCCTTTACTTTGAGGTTTTGTAATATAATCTCCAGATAGAATGAAAAAAAATTAAATTTCCCTCTTCTTTATTATTCAGGATTCTGAGCCAGATTGCTGCTAAGAAATTACAAAATCACACTACACTCCAGCTGCCTAAAAGTCAAAGAGTCATTCCAAATAAATAAATTCTAAGTAATAAAATTTAGTTTCTCCCAAAATGGTACTACTGTTAATGAACTTATAAAATTCTGCCTTCCTATATCTCTTCTCTCTCAAACTCAGATGCTAAGTAAGATAACTAAATATAAGGTCATTCATGCACAGAAATATATAATCTTCCTGGCCTCCCTAACTTTGTGATGGCCTTTCTCTTGCAGGCTTTTAGGAACCTGATTTTCTGTTCATGAAGCATAAGCTCATAAAACATTAAAGGGTATGCAAAAATATTTACAACACACCTGCCATATTGAAACTGAAATATTAAGTACACATAACATAATAGCGAAACAAAATTAAGGTGCTACCTTATAAGACAGCAATCTAATAGAAAATTATTTCGAAGTAACAGTACAGCTTTCAATCAAGTGAATTTACAATAAGGACATAAAAATATGGTCTAATTAATACACCATAATTTTCAAATAAATAAAAGTGGAAACGAATACACCATTAATAAAAGTAACATGTTAATACAATTCAAACACAAAATAATTACTTCCCTATTGGAAGAAAGGTTTAAAATATTTAAAATATCAATCTCCTCCACTTACCAGTTGTGCCTTAGCTTGCTCTAGCTCAAGCTCAAGCTTTTTCTGCTGAAGTTCTAACAACTGTTTTTGTTTTGCCAGTAATTGTTGCCGTATTAGTTGTTCTTGGGTAAGATTCTTTTGTATATCAGGAACAATTGGAGGAGTGGAGATGCTAGGGGAGCTGACCACTGTGCCAGGTGTTGAAGGCTCCTCAGGCTATAAAGAAAAAATACTTTGTTAAGAAAAAGGTATCATAGCTATAAAGGAAGCTAAGGGGTAACTAAAAGTTTTCAACTTAACTCTTAATACTATCCATATTCTTAAATATCACACAGAAAACTTTCCAGGAATTTAAAATCCAAAATAAATGTTACATAATACCTAAACAAGGCAAATATATTTTTAAGTAAGAATTTTAAATATATAATGCTATTATGTTTTTTTTTTCAAATTGAACTGATTCAGCACAGGGTGTTCCATTTTTGCTTTCTGGAAAGAAGTTTTACAGAATTCAAAATTTGATAGTTAAAAGTATTCATTATATGCCATTCATGTTAAAACTTACCGATTTATTTAAAAATTTAGGATTCACATGGATGCTAGATGTATTCACATTGGGGGGCAGAGGTTTAATAGGCCAAGCAGGATCTAATGAATTGACTCTGACATCCAGGGCATAAAGTTTCTTCAAAGGGAATATTTCATCCCATGTGGAACGTAACTTAAATAAACTTTTTCTAGTATTTTCATCCACCTAGAACAACAGAACAATTCTATGGCTTGTTAAGTTACTATAGAATGTTTTATATATTAAGTATAAAGCTACATAAATCCCCGCTCTTTATATAGAGCATAAAGAACATACAGAACTATACTGCCCATTGGTAAATATATACAACAGTAATGATTTATCAAAGATGCATTTGGTTTACAAATGTAAAGTTAATAAAGAAATTTCTCCTTCAAAAACAATTAGAATTATTAAAGTCATTATCACCTAGCCTTCATGCAAGCAATCAACTAGGCAAGTTTTTGCATGTACAAAATGTTTCCACGTTTTAGGGCTTGGTATAATATTCCTAATGTTACTCTTACTCTGGACGAAACATAAAACTAGAAAATCATTTACAGATGGCTTAAATTTTTAAAATTATTTACATGGTAGTACAAAGTTAAAATTAAGACAACACTATCTGACTAACCAATCTTCTGCAATACAATAGGTTAGTACCTATGAACAGGCTATGTGTAATGTGGAAAGCACCTTAATAATTGAAATTCACAAAATCTTAACTACTGATAAGTTTTAGTTTTATGTGACGTATCAGCTCACATTTGTGATGGGCATAACATTTTTTATAAAATTAGCCATCAGAGAAACTTAATACTTGAAAGAACTTAGATTTTTAAGTAGGACAGTAAAGCCTTAACTATATTCACAAGTCTTTAGATAATATATTTACTACAAGGTCATTTCTGTCAACTGTAGTGTTAATGCCCAGTTAGATCCAGTAAAGGTATGCTACCAAACAAATTTGAACATACTGAAACCAAAACCAAGAGGTTAAGCTTCTCCTTAAAACTATGGCCTCAGGTACCCAGTATTCAGCAAATGTCTACGATACACTATTAATTAACAAGCTTTTTAATGCTATCTAAAATATAACTTTCTAAATTTCTTCTGTATATACTATTTCTTTTCTTTAAGAACTTTAAAAAATTACCCAAGTAGCAACTACACACTTTTTGTTCTAACAAACAGGTAAAATCCAGTAATAGTTGTTCCAAAGAAAAATCACAATTTTACAAATCTGACAACTGACACAACGGGTGCTCATCTACTAAAATGTAAGAACTACCAATCATTTGTTAGGAAACAATCTTTAAACCTAAGTATCTTGTAAGTGCCCTTTTGCTAAGTGTGAAAGATAAAGCCTGACACAATTACTTCAGCAAATCCCTTGTCTTCAACATAATACTGTATTAACCAAATTACCATGACACAATGTTATAGAAGGAATTTACAGTCTCTAGACATAGAAACTAACAAGCCTTTCTTCTAAGGGGGAGAAAAGTATTTCCAAAATACCCTAAAGCAATTCACTGGTCCAGCATTCACACATACCTACAACATTCACATAAAACATACTTGAACAAAGTAACAAAAGAGGAATCATTTCCAGGAAGAAGCGGGGGGAGAACACACAGAAGTTTCAGGAATCAATCACAAGTTGAGACACACTAAAGGACTGCTTTTTTTTTTTCCAGATAGGAATAGTCAACATCCTAACACCAGAAATTTAAACAATGAAATCTGAAAGTACTCTTGATATTTCATATCTTTTTGCCCATTTTCTACTGATGAAACAGATCTTCAATCAAGTAAACAAACTCAATTAAAAAACCACAATTCTAAAAGAAACTCATCCATTCTTAAATAATGTAAATCTTTAGTCTGTTTTTAAAATCTAACATAAAACATTAACTTTAGCCACTTTTTTTGAAATGGTACTTAACGATCAATGTCAAAGGAATTAAACTTTTTACCACCCAAGAAAACCCAACACAAAGCAAGTATTTATTTAATCAGGAACACATTTAAGAAAAAAATTCAAATGTTTCTAAATGCATATATACCTTTTCAAACACACAAATAAATGTTGCAACTAGATTTTTAGTAAAGGCAGTGAGATACTCTCTTCCAACGTTTTTCACGATAGAATCCATAAGGTACATAACAGGAAGTTTCTCTGAGGAAGGAGCCTGAAGTAATAAAAAGAAACTGAGAAGTTTAGTATAATGAATTGCCACCAAAGAAATACTTTTAATAGTGAGTTTTTAGACCTACAATACAGACCTCTATTTTTGTTGGTACTAAATACTTTTGAATTGATATTAACCTTTATGAACCTAAATGTTCAATCAAGTTCTCATCTCTTACAATGATCTTCAATTGAGCACACAAAAGCTCAGAATTACCAGGATGAAAAACTGTAATCTCTAGTACATTCACTTAACACTCAATGGAATTTCAAGTTCACGTGGTAAAAAGATCCGTGTTGTGATAAAAAAGGGGGAGGCAAGAGAAAATTACTTTCTGTAATCCGATTGTCAGCTTTGGGATCCATATTAACTTACAATGGTGTGCCTTGACTCAATGAGGTAGTTTTTAGACCTCTGGTAAAAACCCTAATTTCCCATAGGCATATTTTATATGTTAAAGTCTATGAAGCTTTTGTTACCTGTAAAATCATTAGGATTACTTCTCTATAATCCAAACGAACAAAGAAATTAAAAACGCTTATGAAGTCAATGGCCAAACACTTTAAACTTGCATATGAGCATGCAGGAAGGTGCAAGTTTGTTACTGATAAAAGAAAAACTGGATGGAGCAGCCGCTGAATCACGTAAACCAGGTTGAACTTGACTCTGGAAACCAGGATTTGTCCTGAAGATTTTCTTCACAGCATGGACTCTCCACTCCGTCGAAATATTTTTCCTGTGACATGCACAAACCAGGGTTTCTAAATTTGTGCAGAGCCAGTGTTGTGATGTTGACACAGGCGGCCCTTTTCAAAGTAAAAAAATGTTGCCCCCGCTCAACTGCAATGCCTGCCCATCACTGGCTTTTAGAAGGCACAGCAAGCTTCCAGAAAGCATCAGCAGGTTCACAGACTTGTTGAAGAGCATTAAGACATACCATATGAACTTTTTTCTAATTTTGACTCCACAGGAGCACCCATGATTTTTAAAAAAACAAAAAAATCTTAGGTTATCCCATTTACCCACCCCATGTGTATAGGAATCTTATCCCTGAATAATAACACTTACCCATAGCTACCTGTAGCTAGGGTAGTCTCACAGCTCTGGAGTACACAATGCCATCATAAAACCAACTGCCCGCACAAGTGTGTGGAAATGCTCTTGCTTCTGATAACACGTTACAACCAAAAGTTGGCTAAGGAAACCTTTGAATAACTTTGTATGGAAATACTTCTTTTAAGGTATAATAAAAGGGTTCACAAGGCCACTGCATGTGGGTAAACTACATTAAGTACCAACATGTCAAATGCTTTATTGCTGTGTCTTTACCTTACCATGTCATGTTTTACACCATTTTAGTCATTATTGTACTTATGAAGATAAACAGGCTCTCTTTTAACACCAAAATCTGTTCAGCAGGCTACTTTTTATTGTACAAGTGAAAATCCTTATATGTAATCTTTTTCACTACTGCTGCCTCATGGGAGGAGTCAAGGTGTGAATTTTAGTTATGCTGAGATGCTAAAAAATGACATTCACCTCCAGAAACACAAAATCAAGCCAGTTTGCTACCATATGACAGAAAATCCCTCCCCTCACCCTCAATCCCAACCCAGATTAATAGTCCCCCAAAGTGACTTTTACATCTTTTCCTCAATCTGGCTTTACAAAAATAACCAGGAAACGTGTGCCCCCAAAACTTCAGCTGTCTTTTACCAGCAAATAGTCCATCTATTTTCACCACTGTGTAGCGACACACAAACACGAGTTTTATGTGGTCATTATAGTCAGCATTTAGTTTTCAATTCTCGAAGGTCTTCTGGATCCATCAAAAACCAGCAAGGAAACTGCTGAGTGACAACCTGAGCTGCTAAATATCAGGCACTGTGGAATATTAATTCTCATAATATGAGGGAATTAGATTTTAAAAAATCAATGTTATCGTCTTAAAAATTCAAGTGCTTTTTTTTTAAAAAAAATGCATTAATGTCAAGTTTAGCCTTCAACAAGGCAAAAACTAAGATTTCCAACATGTTTATGGTATCAATAAAAAAAAGGATGTTGAGTATGGGGAATGTTTCCTTTTTAATCTCACACTTAAAAAAATAGCTGTTTTACATAGACATTCACAGGAAAAGGTGAATGAAGACATTTTAGCTGTCAGGCTGAGCATGACAAACCTGTTGAGCCCTTAAAAAAACCTTACTTTTTGTCCTCTTTAAATTAAGGTTTGAAAGGACCACCTGAAACCGTGTATCTTGTGAACAGATTTACCCAAAAGAGTGGATGGAACCTAAAGAAGAATGAACCCAAGTCACTTAAAGACTTTTGTTTAAAACACACAACCACGTAGATAAAAATAAGTCTTGGAAACAGATTCTACACCTTACAAAGGTAAATAAAAAAGACAAATACATATTTTATATGTTTTATTCACAAATTTTATAATACCAGTCACACATTTCAAAACCATTTATTAGAGTCAGACCACTCAGTTTTACACTAGACAGAAACCGTCTCTAAACATATTGGTGGTTGTTGTTAAAGTGGCCTTTTAAAAGGGGTTCACTCTGCTAAAAGGAGGCTCATCCTGATAATCGCAATCACTAACAACTAGAAAAAACTAAACCGTAAGTACAAGCTTGAAAAATAACTTAAAAAGTAGTACTGGGAAGCTATTAAAATTCATTATAACTAAGTTTAACAGTAACTTTACTTAAATGACATATCGCTCCCACATGAATCCACAGAAAAGGAGGACTACAGGGAAATATAAGGTGGCAGAGGACCACTTCTGTCAAGGGGTGAAGAAAAGCACGTCTTCACTATCAGGGAAGGGAGGAAAAAAGAGAAAAGGAAGAGGAGGAGGGACTGAACTTTTCAGAGAAACTACAAGTACTTGTTACCCACTGGGCCAGTTCTCCACCTACAGGTTGGATAAGATGTCCTCCCCCACCCAAACCCCACCCTCACTCACCCCCAATTGCCCATATTTTGGGACAAATTAGACCCTCCGATAGGAGAATAAGAGTTTTATCTAGCCGCCCCCACCCCAAAATGGGGCTGACGGGTGTGAGCAGCTGCCTGGCTGGCAGGGAATGGATTCTCCTCTCTTCCCTTTCGCATCATGTGCTTTTCAGGCGCCATGTTGGGCTCCTAACAGGCGGCTGCTCCACTCGGGGCCAATTTCCTATTCCCACCCCCAAACAGCTCGCTCCCAGGTCCCCCTTCACCTCCTTCCAACCCAGAGAGCACAATTACCGAAAAGGGTACTGGGGGAAATTGGGAAAACCACTCCCCACCTTCCCAGGGGGTTAAAATGGTTTGTTTTAACTCTTACTTCCCCAAAGCAAACTGCCTTTCAGTCTCCCCCACCCCAGAGCTCTATTCAACGCCTGTGTGTCGGGATATACAATGCGGTGGCCTAAATACGGACTTGGTAAGCGGAAGTGGGGCTCCACCCTTTATCCTCCCCACTCCCTCCCCGCCAGAGAGGCCCACACTCGAAGCCTGGGCCAAAGACCGAGCCTGAGTTGGAGGGGGAGGGTTGGAGAGGAGGAATAATGTCCCCCTTTGGATGGAAGCGAGACCTGGGATGAGGCTGACACTAAAATCAGGGAGTATTAGAAGAATAGGAGGCTGCGGGGTGTATAAAAACCTTGGCGGTTTGGGCCTCGATGAGAGAGACGATCTCCTTGGCGAAGGGCAGGTTCTCCTCGGCTAGAATGGTCAGCATATTGATGTGCGGTTTGCTATTGAAGGTCAGGTCTTCGAGCGATGACTGATAATCCCGACAGGCGTCCTCCCGGGCCCCCGCAGCACCGGCCTCGGCCGGCGTCTGCTCTGACATTGCGCCGCGGCCCCCCTCCGAGGTCCGCCGCAGCTGAAGCTGAAGCCGCTCTCGATACCCCGCCTCCCTTCTGACTCCTCTTCCTCTCCCCGGGTCTCTCGCGGCTCCGGCTTCACCACATGCTGACCGCGGAGGGGGGTTGGGGGACGACACAGGGGGAACCTCGGGTATGAAACGCCGCCGTCTCACAGGTGATCTCCGTCCACTTCCAGCCGCCACAGCAGCTTCTTTCTCCACAGACACAAAATGGCGGCGGCAGTGGCGGCTTCAGCTCCGAAAATGTCTGTGTTCCCAACCGCTGCGTCGTGCGAAATGAGCTAGGGGAGGGGAAATGTGCGGTAAAGGGCGGGGCCGTTGATAAAACAAGGCGTGATTGGCTGGACCGGCAACGTCACAAGCCCCGCCTCTGGTCCTTCCGCAGGGCGTACTGGCACCGCCTTCTTCTCCGATCCCTACCCGGACTTTCGCAACACCTTCTGCTCAGAGGTGTGGTGGAAAAGACGGACCTTCTCATTGGCCGATTCATAAGGGACTGTTCGGTCATTTGTTACCATAACAACCCATTCAGGGAAGCCAATAGGCCTGGGAAAGGCTGTTCCCAAGGCCCAACCCAACCACTTTAAGAAGAAAGCTCCGCCGTCCCCTCTTTGTCCCTCCCTCGGCAGTTTCCCAGCCACTAAACGGCTCTGTCAATCACCTCCCTCCGTCCAGGCCTGGCTGCAGCGACCCGCGGTTGTGGGTGGAGGGAGCGGGGAGTTTCGGCCAGCGGCACCCTCTCTCCGCTTTTGCCCCAGGTGCTCCCGAGAGCCTGGGCGGATCTAGCTGTCTTTCGGGGAACTAAGAACAGAGAGGGAGGCGCCGAATTTGCCCAGAACCAGGGCAAGAATCTCTAGAGAGTTCACTCCAGCTCGCCGCCTCCCCCACCCACAAAAACAACCTAGGCCAGCTTGCTTGAGTTGCATCCCCAGGAAAATGCCTTTATGTAGAGGTTGTGTATGAAAGGCTTTTCCCTAGGGGGTTGGAGGAGCTATTTAGGGACCCCACTCAAATCTCTAGGAAAGGTTTCTCACAACAGCTACACCCAGCCGAGAGCCTGATAGCTCCCCTCTCTGAATCTTCTGCACTTCAGAACAGCTTTAGAATACACTATTTGAGACACATAAGGAAAAAATATATGTATTTCATTTTGTTGTTCGTTTGTTTTTAAACTTGTAGGATCTGTTCCCAGGTTGGAAATGATGCTCTAAAAACACACAGAGCATTCAAATAGTTCTACCATGGTGCTGCAGCATAACATAACTAAATGTAATTTTTTTCATTGAGTAGAGATATTAACCCAAATACAGGCTTTAAAAAGTATTAATTACGTAAGATTTGCTTTACCATTGTCCTCCATGGGCTACTAGGCACTTGAGAGATAATTTGTTTCCAGAAGAAATTGCTCATAAGAAATAAATTGCTTTTCATTTGTCCCATGTAAAGTAACATTTCGGTTTATTCTTTTTGTTTTGTTTAGGTTTTTTAGCAGTTTTATTGGCATAGAATTGGTATATATAATAATAAACTGAACATAAACGGTGCAGCAAGTTACGTTTTGACTTAAGTATTTTTCATTTCTTTTTAGCATGATATCACATATGATTGAGAAGTAAAACCTGGGAGAAACTTCTCTTCTTTCGTTTGAAGCTAAGAAATATTGTCGAATGGGTATTTATAATCTCAATAATTTCGTACCATTGTTAGTGGTGGTATTTAGATATAATAGACACAGTTAAAATTAAATAACTTTCAAAGTTTCTGTTTTCTAGAGGGAAATGGCCAGTGTAAAATAGTTCCCTAGTAGTTTTCCTTGTAATTTTAAAGGTGAATTTCATCACTTAACTATCTGCCTTTTATTGTTTTTAATATCCTTTTTAACAACAAAGTGGAGTTCTAAAAAAATGAAAGTTTTCAAAGCTCTGATTTGGCTTCTATTGTATCTCTCATAGTCTATACACAGAGCAAGCAATTAATATATTTTAGCATATGAATCAACAAACCTATGTACCCACAAAAGATGTGGAAAACTCAAGTGACTAGCAATCTTATTCAAATCATATGCTATAATACAACAAGAATATCTTTAAATACTCAGGACAGGACACAAACTAGATAATCAGTATTTTTAAATATACATATAAATGCATGAAACTTTTCCCATGGGTTTTCAGTGCCAGTTCTTTCATAAGAATATGCAACTGAGGCACTCTTCCCCAACATTAAGCCCTGGTTATCTGCCTATCTCTATGCTAGGTGCAATGGTGAACAGGATAGCCCCTTGGATCTGCCTTCATGAAATGTATAACTCAGTCATAATCTCATGTAGTAATATCAAAAAGTACTCAATTTGACCAGAAAACCATGGGTATCCCAGAACTATTTTCAATAATCAAATCCATTGATTTTTGTGTTTCTGCAGAATATGAAGCCTTTACATTGTTTTTGAGGAAAATTACTCTTCCCTTGATTCACAGAGTGCTTACAAGGAGTGCATTCCTCCTTTAAAAAAAAAAAAAAAAGCGTCTATTCTAGGCAGTCAAATACTCTACTGATGTAAATTTTTGATGTCATCAGAAGGGCAGAAATGTTTATACTAAACACAGGAAGTGGAAAGGAAATAAGGGAATAAGAATTAAAAAGCAATCCCTTTAAAAGCAAAATTGGGCCGGGCACGGTGGCTCACGCCTTTAATCCTAGCACTTTGGGAGGCCAAGGCGGGAGGATTGTTTGAGCTCAGGAGTTCGAGACCAGCCTGAGCAAGATACCAAAAATAGAAAGAAATTAATTGAACAGCTAAAAATATATAGAAAAAAATTAGCCGGGCATGGTGACACATGCCTGTAGTCCCAGCTACTTGGGAGGCTGAGGCAGTAGGATTGCTTGAGCCCAGGAGT